AAAAAAAAAGAAGGCTGAGGATGTAGCTCAGTGGTTGAGTACCCCTGGGTTTAATCCCTGCTAATAAAACAGAAGCAAAACAACAAAAAAGAGAAGGGAAGAAAAATAATATAATCTGGTTTATCTTTTGCTACCAAAGATACCAGAAAGGTTTTTCCATTGTTTTCCTGTATCTTTAAAAAATATATATTAAAAAATATATAGATATATAGCTAGATAGCTAGATATAGATGGATAGTTGTAGGTGGATGCAATGCATTTATTTTATTTATTTATATGTGGTACTGAGAATCGAACTCAGGGCCTCATACATATTAGGCAAGTGCTCTACCATTGAGCCATAACCCCAGCCCTGAACCCTATCTTTTGATTGTTTGCTCTCTAATATTCTTTCCACTAAATCACATTGCCTCACTCAAATAATAGATAAATTATATTTAAGTTGCTATATACCTTTCTTTCTCTTCTCCCCTTTTTTGGTATCAGAGACTGAACCCATGGGCACTTAACCACTGAGCCATATTCTCAGCCCTTTTATTTTTTATTATGAGACAAGGACTTGCTAAGTTGTATAGTTGCTGAGGCTGGCTTTGAACTTTCAGTCCTCCTGCCTCAGCCTCCTGAGTTGCTGGGATTAAAAGCATGCATCATTATGCCTCACTACCATTGTGGCCTCTGAAATACCAAACAGTGTTTTGGGACATCAAGCAGAGATTTGTTTTATTAGAATTTCATCACTGCTTACTATAATTTAATAATTGTTTATCTGATTCTTATTGCTTCTAACAAAGAGTATGACACATCAAAATTACCCAGAGGAAGCATTGAATTGAGGATCAGAAGACTAAAAGTAGAGTCCTTACTCTGGCACTTAATGACCATATATCTTTAAGTGTTCCATTGCTCTTTAGTCTTTGTTGCCTTATCTTGGTTTATTTCGGCTCTAAAGTTATGTAATGGCAATATAGGACCTTATGGTAAACTATGTGTTTTAGCATAGAATGTACTATGTGATGCATTTTTCATACCCTACCTAGTTCTTAAAAATAATTTTAAAAAGGCTTACTTACACCCTAGTGTAAAAACAGCTTTGAAATTATACCATAAAAAGCAGAAACAATAATGGAAAGGATATTTGATTACATAAATATTTCTAAAATAAGACAATCTCAGACAATTGCACATACAGACAAACATGGAGTTAGACTTTAAAAGGAGTGGTTTATGAATTTAACAAAATGCAAGGAATATAGTAGAGATGTGATGTCAGTTTTCCTTTCTCAAAACTTAAAAAGAAAATAATGGATGAGGTTGTGGCTCAGCAGTAGAATGCTTGCCTAGCATGCGTAAGGCGCTGGGTTCTGTCCTCAGCACCACCAAAAATAAGTAAATAAAATAAAGGTATTGTGTCCAACTACAACTAAACAAACCAAAAACTTTAAATATATATATATATGCGCAAACACTGAAAAGGAAGTACAGTTTGATAGAAGTAATTGCAGGGCCAGGAATGTAGCTCAGTTGTAGAGTACTTGCCTAGCATGTGCAAGGCCCTGGATTCAATCCACAGTACTGCAAAAAAAGGGAATTACAACATGTTCCAAAGGAGGTACAATTTTAATACACAAAAATTTTACAAATCAGTAAGAAAAGATGAACAAACTAGCATTCAGAATGGGCAAAGGAATAGCAGTATGTGGCAGTGCATGTATATAATCCCAGTGGCTTTGGAGGCTGAGACAGGAGGATTGAAATTTTTAGACCAGCTTTTGCAACTTAGTGAGACCATATTTCAGAATTTTTAAAAATATGGTCTTTAATATTGCAGGGCCAGGAATGTAGCTATATAGTAAATAAATCCTGACTGCTTCATCCCTAGTACTGGGGTAGGGGTTTTGGGCAGGCAAAGAACCCAAATGAGTACTCTGCAACATGACCAATAAACATGAAAAAATATTTGGTCATACAGTAGTCAAATTAAAATTAGAACAGGAAGTGCTTGCTTTGGCAGCATATAAACTAAAATTGAAATGATACAGAGAAGATCACCATGGCTCTTGTACAAGGAGGACATGCAAATTCATGAAGTGTTCCATATTTTAAAAAATAATAATTAGAACAGGAAAATAACTTAAATTCTCTTCATGGTTGTTATTAAAACAATTTGTGTGCCATTAACACCAATTACATTATCTTAGAATACCAGGAAGAAATGTATGGTCCAACAAAATTTCACAATGGCATCATAGGGGTCTCTAACCATACAGGGGAAAAGATAGTTATAGGCTTCTGAAGAAGGGTGGTGGTTAGATGAAATTTAAAAGAAGCAATTATAGAGTAAAGGAAGATACTAAAGGGGGTCAGTTTCAGACATGGATTACATGAATCCTGTTGCCTTGGAATCAGTGAAGTTTAGGCAGATACATAGAAACCCATTATCTGAAACCCTGCATCTAGGTTGTAGAGCAAGACTGCTTATTAATTTTAAAAATGACTTAGATCCTCAGATAAGAATTAGATATTTCATTCTTAGTGGTATCAATCTCAAATGTCTGAAGTTTCTGATGGCGTTAGAAAACAGTTTCTCAGTAAGAAAGCAGACGTTACTTAAAGTAGATTGTCATGCCACTTTATAACCTCTGTATATCCTTGACAAATACTAATTTTGGTTAACTTTGCATCTAGCTTTATCTGTATCTGTTAATTAGCTCAATAGATGGATATGTAGATTTTTTTACTTTCTTAAAATTTGTCTTTTTTTAGTACTGTGATTGTATCCAGGGCACTTTTCCATTGAGCTAAATCCCCAGATGTTTTTAATTTTCTATTTTAAGACAGRGTCTCAGTAAATTGCCAAAGATGACCTGGAACTTAGGATCTTCCTGCCTCAGCTTCCTGAGTTGCCAGGATTATAGGCGTGTAACATTGTTCCCAGTTCTCAGAATTTATCTTAAGGAAAAACCAAGCTATAGCTACAGTAATATTTTTCAGAGCATGCTAACTGAAAAAAAAATTGGAAATAAACTGTTTTTAACTGTAATTATTATGTATTTATATGTATTTATATGATTAGACAATACACAGACATTAAAAATTATATTGTTGTAGAAGCTAACTTGAAACTTGTGAATCCCTTGAAATAAATTTGGGTATTTTTGTGTGTATGTATTTGCAACTCAGAGGCAAAATATTTAGCTTTTAGTCTTGATATTGTTATTAATCTACTAGGTGCCTTTCTTTAATCCTTACCCTCTCCAATAGAACTTATTGATTGAATTTACTGTGATGGTAGAAATGTTATATTTCCTTCATGTCCAGTATGGCAAGCAGTAAGCCATATGTAATGGTTGAGTACTTAAAATAAGCTTAATGAGGAACAGAATTTTAAAATTTAACTAACTGAAATAGCTTCATGTGGCTAGCCAGTAATTACTATATTTGGACAAGTCACTTCATCTTGTTGGTTACCTGATCCCTAAAATGAAAGGAGGAAATCCAGGGAACATTTAGTCTTGGTCCTTTCCTTTAAACCGGAGGACATCCCTTCTAGAACAAGTACATTAAGTTAGTTCTACAATTTTAATCAGCTGTATGGGAACTTAAGTAATAACAATAATAATGATCTACTTTTCAATAATAATAATAATTAAGCCTATTTAACATTTTTGTGAAACAGTTTGTTCAGTTTACTTAACATGTGATTTGTTTTACTGGGGGTGGGCCTATAAGTCAAATCCAGCTTGCTGCTAGATTTTTGTAAGCCTATGACCTATAAATTATGTTTATATTTGTAAATGGTTGAAAACAAGAACAAAAAAATTCCATAAATATTATATACATATAAAAACCAGTATATATAAAGTTTAATTGGAGCACATCCTTATTTATTTATGTAACATACTGTCTGTAATCGCTTCTGTGTTACATTGACAGAGTTGATGGTTATAAAAACCGTATACTCTAAAAAACCCTAAAATGTGTACATACCATCTGGTCCTTTTATATATTTTTTTTAATGGGTTGTGGATCTAGTGCAGTGGAGGTACATTTGCTTCAATGTGAGGCCTTGGGTTTAATCTACCCAGCATTGCAAAAAAAGTTCTTTGTTTTCTGACACTGTTATAGTTCAATTGTGCTGGAATATACAAAATACCTGAAATGCTTGTAAACAACAGAAATTTATATCTCACAGTTCTGGAAGATAGAAAGCCCAGGATCAAGGCACTGGCAGATTTTTGAGTCTGGTGAGGGCCTACTTTCGGGTTTATAAATAGTACCTGTTAGCTGTGTGTTCACCTGGTAGAAAAGGCAAGGAGACTCTAGAGAAGGTCTGGCATGTCTGGTGAACACCTGCTTCCTCTTATATGGCTGTCTTCTCACTGTGGCCTCACGTGGTGGAAAGGGCTATGGGTCTTTCTGCCCTGTTTTATGAGGACATTAATCCTGTTCATGAGGGCCTCACTTCCTAATACTGTCACCTTGGTAGGTAGGATTTTACTGCTTGTAGGGATACAAACAGTTAATTATTTAGTATAGGTGATCTTTATGAGTTTAAAACACCAGGACAGGCTGTAATGTGATCATTTTATGTTTTAGATTTGATGAGTTTGATGAAGCAATTGATGAAGCTATAGAAGATGATATCAAAGAGGCTGATGGAGGAGGTATGTTGTACCATTCTTAATTTTTCATATAACTGCCAACAAGTTAATTCAAATGCCCAAATTAGGACATTGAACATAATTTTTAGTCCCCACCTTATTGTGTATCACTATAACTAATGATTTTAACTGTCTTAGATACAAAATGGACAGTGTCAGAGGACAGACTCAGATCTYACTAATTATTTTTGTTTTATTTTATGATCTACCACAAAATATTAATGTTCCTCCATACATCAGAAATTTTACTCCTGGGCTACGATTATTATAGCTCAGTGACAGAGCGCTTGCCTCATACATGTGAAGCACTAGGTTCAATCCTCAACACCACATAAAAATAAATAAACAAAATAAAGATATTGTGTCCATCTATAACGAAAAAAATAAACCACCAAAAAAGATATTAAAAAAAAATTTCATTCCTGGGTCCATCTATTAAAATCAGCATACTGACTTCATAGTCTTTAAAAGATGGCATTAATGTAGAGGAATTTGAAGGTACTTTATGAAAGTACCATATAGCCAATTGCTGGTGCTCTGATGTGGAACATTGTGGTTTCCATTTAATTATTAAGAAAACTCTGGAAAGGATTAATAAATAGGTTGTTTGTAAAGGAACTAAAGAAGTCAAGAAGCTTTTCTAGAAATATGTGCTTTATTTATATCCTAGCCCACTTTTTTTTTCCTGTCCTACAGTGTTTTTAAATATGTATTGGTCTCTTTCTTCAGGCCTTATCCAAAAGATAGCTTTCAAGAAGAGTTTCCTAGATGACTGTTAATTAAGTATGAGGTTTCTTTATGGGGTGACGAAAATGTTCTGGAATTGATTAGAGATGATGATTGTACAACGTTATAACTATATTAAAACTTTTTAATTACACACTGAAAAGGTGAGTTTCACAGTACATGAATTATAAATAAGAGGTTCTCTACATTGTGGACTTTTGTTCAGTAGGATGAGTACTAAATCTATCCTGATAAAAGCTCTGTCAGTAGAAGTTGGCAGAAATCTGCACTTTTGTAAGAAGACAGAAATCCAATGAAGAGCTGTTAGACACAATAAGGACAGTCTGCAAATTAAGGGGAAGGTTTAATAAACATATAGTTATCCTTCCCCTTTAGGAGTTGGCCGAGGAAAAGATATCTCCACCATCACAGGTCACCGTGGGAAAGACATCTCTACTATTTTGGATGAAGAAAGAAAGGAAAATAAACGACCCCAGAGGGCAGCTGCTGCTCGACGAAAGAAACGCCGGCGACTAAATGATCTGGACAGTGATAGCAACCTGGATGAAGAAGAGAGTGAAGATGAATTCAAGATCAGTGATGGGTAAGTGGCCTGCCGTAGACCCCATCATTCTGACTGGCTTAAAAAGGACTAGCCAGCAGTGAGACTTGGCCACATTGTGATGGGGATTTTGTTCTTCACAAACATAAATTATCTCTGTTTTCAGGGTATTTAAAGAAGATTGAAGAACGTGAATTTTGGGTTTTATTAGATTAAAATTAAAAGTTAGGTTTATGGGGCTGGGGTTGTGGTCAGGGGTAGAACGCTCACCTAGCACATATGAGGCACTAGGTTTGATCCTCTGCACCACAAAAAAATAAATAAAATAAAGGTGTCGTGTCATTGTGTCCATCTACAACTAAATATATATATATATATATATATATATATATATATATAGATAGATAGATAGATAGATAGATAGATATAGATAGTAGATTTATGGTTATTTGTTTAATATTCAAAATTATATTTGATTAACTGTAATTGAACTTGGATTTGTTGAGGTTCCACCGTGCTACCTTCTGCTACCAAGTCCATGAGGAAGTCATCAAGTCAAATGTGAGAAATAAATAATTAGTAAATATCCTCTTTTAACGTAGAGGTTGGGGTTGGGACAAGTAATCCAGTATGGAAAATCTGGGAATGCTTCTGCAGAATAGGTATTAAAACTATACTGCAGTTTCTCTTTTTAGATTGTTAATGGAGACAATAAACATATAAAGCCCCCACACAAAAAAGTCATTCTGCATGACTGCTACTAAAATATAAGGAAAATATAGATTAGGAGGACAGTTGGATTAATCCAAAAACATCAGAGAAAACCTCCCAGTAAAAGTACAGTTTGATCTCAAATTTACAGAATATTTGGATAGATCAACAAGTTTGAGATTAGAAGCAGGATAAGAAAAGAAGGCATTCAAAGAAGTCATGTGTTACAGGCAGCAAGCYATAAAATATCATGGAACATCTGAGAAATATCTAGTGTCCCAGGATAGGAAGAATACAAGGATAAAATAGAGAATGCCCTATTGGAGATGTGTTTAGAAAATTAAAAATAACTAGATGAAGGGTGTTTTGTTTGGCATGCATGAAAGTTTGGACTTTGTCCTGAAAATGATGAAAAACCACTGAATGTTTTAGATGTGAGAAATTAAAAGGGAAAAATTAGGATTAATATCAGGTATTTGTTTTGATTATTGGGGAGACAGAAGCTGAGTAGATTGGGAAATAATTAGTTCACTTTTTTTCTTTTTTTTAGTTGTAGATGGACTGTTAAAATTTCATTTATTTATTTTTTATGTGGTGTTGAGGATCAAACTTAGTGCCTCACATGTGCTGGGCAAGTGCTGTATCATTGAGCTACAACCCCAACCCCATGAGTTCCCTTTTGATGTGCCAAATTTAAAGGTACACGGAGGACATCCATGAGGCCAATGTAATTTTGTATACAAAAAATCAGCATCACTTTATCATCTCAGTCCCTCCTAAAAGGAGAACAGATGACATTTTGTTTTCCTGAGAAACTGATAAAATTATCCAGATATATTGCATAAATGTTACTTAATGTTTCAATGGACGCACCAAAATTTGAACTCAAAAATGTGTTCTCAGTTCTTAGTGTACTATCATAATTTATTTGGGCTTTCCTGGACAGATCTCAAGATGAATTTGTTGTATCTGATGAAAACCCAGATGAAAGTGAAGAAGATCCACCATCTAATGATGACAGCGACACTGATTTCTGTAGTCGTAGATTGAGGCGACACCCTTCCCGACCAATGAGGCAAAGTAGGCGTTTGCGAAGAAAGACCCCAAAGAAAAAGTACTCTGATGACGACGAAGAGGAGGAGTCTGAAGATAATAGTAGAGACTCTGGTAAAGATAACTTGTATTCATATCATCCTAACTTACTACATTTGTTTGACTTCAGGAGTTAAGAGCTCTTAAAATTCTATACAATTGTAATTAAGCTTTCTGATAAAGCTTTGTCCTTTTCTTTTTTAATTTTTTTTTTTTTTTAATATTTACTTTTTAGTTTTTGGCGGGCACAACATCTTTGTTTGTATGTGGTGCTGAGGATCGAACCTGGGTCGCATGCATGCCAGGCGAGCGCGCTACCGCTTGAGCCACATCCCCAGCCCCTTCTTTTTTAATTTTTTGAATTTTGGGGTACTCGAGGGCACTTGACCACTGAGCCTATTTTTTTATTTTATTTAGAGACAGGGTCTCACTGAGTTGCTTAGTGCCTCACTGTTGGTGAGGCTAGCTTTGAACTCACGATCTTCCTGCTTCAGCCTCCCATCTGCTGGGATTACAGATGTGCTCCACCATGCCCAGCTTGTGCCCTTTTCTTATGACTAGTAACTATGTGTTTCACATAGAGCATATCTGAGAAAATATATGAAAATTTATGTATTGACTTCATACTAAATTCATTTAGGATTGTGATGAATCCTTTTGGTGCCACATTGTTTCCATTGCCTAACCTTTATCCTTATAGTGTTTCTTGGGATCATTCTCAAAAAGTTGAACATTTTTGTCAGATACTCAATTGTTTAAGAGAGAATTCCATTTATCTCCAGTATGTATGCCACAATCAGTGATTCTGTAGTTTTTCCAACTTAGCAGAGACTTATGTTTTTATACATTATGCTTATATTTATTAACAGAATTAATAGAGGCAAAACAGCTGAAAGGAAAGGTGGGGGGATGCTTTATAGAATTGGTAAACAGGTAGCTGTCATCTTATAGGGGATGTATCACAGACATGAATATTGGTTCCTTGGTCTGGCCATCCTTTKTAGATTTTGTTTTATTTATTTATCTTTTCTAAACCTCCTAAGTGGCAAAATTATGCTTCATCAGTGATTATTTCTGAAAAACAAGGACATTTTCTTACATACCCACAGTTATCAGAATTAGAAGTTTTAACGTTACTAATTCAAATCTTAATCTAGCATCCCATATTGTTCTATGTATATAGATTTTTCGTAGTCCAGAATTTGATCTTGGACTTTACGTTCCATTTATTCATGTCTTTTTAGTTTCCTTTAATCAGGAGTATCCATCAAAATCTGTCTTTTCTGACCATGATATTTAAAAAGAATATCTACTAGTAATTTTATAAGATGTCCCCCAGTTTGGTTTTTCTTGTTTCCTTGTGATCAGATTTATGCATTTTTGGCAGGAACTCACAAAGTATTAGCCTCCCATGTTTCTGTATGTTATTTTTCCTTAAAATTAATAAGTAATTAATAGCAAGATACTTTGATGCTGTGTAAATATACTTCCTTGTCAAATGTTTCACCTGCTAGTCTTAGTCCTTTGAGGATTCTCCAGCACTGTTATTCCTTTTATATCTATTAGTCATTGTTCCATGAGGAAGAACTTTCCCTTGTTTATATATTTCCTTATTTATATCAGTGTGTATTTTTAGATTCTTATTTTAATGAGTAGATTTAGTACATTATTATCAGTATTTAAGTTCAGTTTTCCCAGATTTGGCCAGTGAAAATCACTTCTAACTATTGGGTAGCTATTTTGAAATGTTGGCAATCCATTAGAGAACAGTAGGATTGAATGTAATAATTCAGTAGAATTTGTAAGCACTACTGAAAGCACCTCTGACAGAAAGCCATATACTCACTCTGCTTTATTGATCAGAAATGACAAGAACAATTGTATTGGCAATTTGAGAGTATAAACAGCCCTATGTACTGTATTTACCAGGATTTCATTCCACATGGAGAAAATTTAAAAATATAACTCCAATTGTATAATTCTTTGGAATAGACTTATGAGGTTTCTTTGATTAGGGGGTTATATTATTATGAGGGTAGCCAAAGACAGGAACTGCAGATTATCAGGAAGAATATTCTGTAGACTGTTCACCACATAAAGCAGTTGTGGCAGCTTGTGTACTCGACCAGGTTGTTCTAGGTTGAATAAAATAAGGAATATAAAAAAATACATTGAATACATTTCTTTTCTTTTTGCATTGCTGGGGATCAGACTGAGGGCACATGCTAGAGAAGCCCTATATCACTGAGCTACGTCCCAGCCCTTTCTTTTTCGTTGTCCCCCCCACCCTTGTAGTACTGGGGATTAAACCTAGGTCCTCTCCACAACTGAGCCACACTCTAGTCCTTTTTATTTTTTTTATTTTGAGATAGAATGTCACTAAGTTGCCAAGGTTGGCCTTGAACTTTTAATCCTCCTGCCTTAGCCTCCCATGTCCCTGGGGTAACAGGCATGTGCTGTGTATGTGCGTTCTTTTTGGGGGGTGGCGGTGGTACTCGGACTGAACCCAGGGCTGCTTAACCATTGAGCCACATCCAAAGTCCTTTTTATTTTGTATTTGGAGGCAGGGTCTCACTAAGTTGCTTAGGGCCCTTACTAAGTTGCTGATGCTGGCTTTGATAGCAGTCTTCTTGTCTCAGCCTCCTGAGTCCCTTGAATTACATGTGTATGCCACTGTGCCCATTTTCTCTTCCTTTAAATATTTTCTTGAGAATAAGATATGTTTTTAAGACTTGCCATTAAAAACCTCTCCCGGAGTGACTCATTTTATTAAAAAGAAAATAAGACTTATGAAAGTTTTTAACCTAAGAATTTTTATAACTAAACTCTGTTTAGTATCTTTAATTTTTATAGCCTAATCTAGTTATATTTCTATTTAATAGATTTCAGTTTTATACATGACTTCGTTTTTGTTCCTTTTTTTTTAATAGAAAGTGACTTTAGCGATGATTTTAGTGATGATTTTGTAGAAACTCGGCGAAGGCGGTCAAGGAGGAACCAGAAAAGACAAATTAACTACAAAGAAGATTCAGAAAGTGATGGTTCCCAAAAGAGTTTAAGACGTGGCAAAGAAATAAGGCGTGTTCACAAGCGTAGACTTTCCAGCTCAGAGAGTGAAGGTAAGAAATAGATCTCCTACTTACATAAGTATGGACAAGGCAGAAATACACATTATAAAGTGAACTCAGGATTGTGGTTATATGAACTTATATAATCAGTAGTAGTTTTAAGATAAATTACATATTTTGTTCCTGGTCACCAATTATAGTTTAAGTAAATGACACTAAGATGCTAATTTTTAAGAATTCCATTGTAATGATTAAATTCTTCATCAAAACTAGTATAGTTGCAGAAAACTGTGATATGCTTTGTAATTTATTCTGCCCATTATTCATGTACTTCATTCTAAAATATCTTCCTGTGTCCCAAACAGCAGAATAGTTTCAAACCAAAGTACGTACAATACTAGTCCCATGTGGCTATTGAGCACTTGAAATGTGGCTAGTGTGACCTTGGACCTGAATTTTTACTTAATTTTAATTAATTTAAATTTAATGTAACTACTTGTGATTATTTTCTACCATGTTGGTTAGCATGGAGTACTCCACACTGTACAGACTGGCTTTTATTTGAGATGAGAGGCAATTGGAGGATTCCAAGCAAAGGAATAATATGTTCTGGCTTAGGTTTTAATTTACTATGGTAGCTGTGTAATGAAAAATTGAAGAAGGAAGGGCAAAAGTTAGGAAACCAGTTAGGAGATAGTTGAAACAATGCAAGTGAAATATGATGATGGGTAGGACTAAGACAATAGCAGTAAAGGGGTGAAAAGTTATAATGTTATGACTATGTTTGAAAGTAGATCCAAAGAATTTACCAATGGGAGGATAAGAGAGAGAGAGAGAGAGAGAGAGAGAGAGAGATTAAGCATGACTAAGCAATTTAAAGAACAGAATTACCAAAAACTATGAGACCACAGAACAAGAAGTTTAGGAACTCAAATTTTGTGCACATCAGGTTTGAGACGCCTTGTTTAGATATCCAAGGATAGATGTTGGATGCATTTGATACATGAGTCTGGAATTTAGTGACTGCCTAAGAGTTATCAACATATAAATGGTATATGCAAAGCCATGAAACTAGGTGAGATTACTTATGATATAATTATAGGCAAAGAAGAGATTTAGAGATTACCAAGGGAACTTAATAGCATGAGAGCTGACACAGTATTGCAGATATAGAGTTGGGGACCCAATTTTAATCTTTCCTTATCAGTATATTTATATGATCCCCTAATTTTAGGACTAGTAGAAAGGGGTTTCCTAGTTTGTTGTCATCTTCATAGGATAGGTTAGATTCAAGGATTATTAGATTTCTTCCCCAGGAAATCTGTTCTTTCCTAAAAATTTGTCCATAAAGTTCATTACGAATCTCTTTGGGCATTGTTATAGGACTGAGAGAAAAATCAGGCCATTTGTTGAAGGGAAATATTTATATATGAGCAAGTCTGAAATCAGGACACAGGGAGGAAAGAAGTACTTAAATCTGTTTATGGTTAAACTATGCCAATAGCTTGAATGTGCTATTTATTCTAGAGAGCTATATGTCCAAGAACTCGGAAGATGATGAGCTAGCTAAAGAATCAAAGCGGTCAGTTCGAAAGCGGGGCCGAAGCACAGATGAGTATTCAGAAGCAGATGAGGAGGAGGAAGAGGAAGGCAAACCATCCCGAAAACGACTACATCGGATTGAGACAGACGAGGAGAGCTGTGACAACACTCATGGAGATTCAGATCAGCGTGCCCATGATGGTCAGCCCAGGGTCCTGCCCTCAGAGCAGGAGAGCACCAAGAAGCCCTACCGGATAGAAAGCGATGAGGAAGAGGACTTTGAAAATGTAGGCAAAGTGGGGAGCCCATTGGACTATAGTTTAGTGGACTTACCTTCCACCAATGGACAGAGTCCTGGCAAAGCCATTGAGAACTTGATTGGCAAGCCAGCTGAGAAACCTCAGACCCCCAAGGACAGCAGCACAGCCAGTGCAAGCCTAGCCCCCAATGGGACGAGTGGTGGGCAAGAGGCAGGGGCACCAGAGGAGGAAGAAGATGAGCTTTTGAGAGTGACTGACCTTGTTGATTATGTCTGTAACAGTGAACAGTTATAAGACTTTTTTTTTTTCCATTTTTGTGCTAATTTATTCCACGGTAGCTCTCACACCAGCGGGCCAGTTATTAAAAGCTGTTTAATTTTTCCTAGAAAACTCCACTACAGATTGACTTTTTAGAAGAAAACAATTTCATCATACCCTGAAGTCTTTCTGTGAAGTGACCAGATTTGAACTTTGAAGATAAATAATTGCTGTAAATTTCTTTTTATTTTCTTTTTCCAAGTTCATGGTCCTTGGTAATTTCATTCATGGAAAAAATCTTATAATAACAACAAAGATTTGTATATTTTTGCCTTTATATTTCCTGAGCTCTCCTAACTTTGTGAAAAGGGTGGATAAGAATGCATTCCAAATCTATAAGGGCCCAAAACAGAATTTAGGGGTGGGAGAAAGCACTTGTGCTTTAGCTTTTCATATTAAATATATATTATATTTAAACATACATGGCATAGATGATGATTAACAGACCTTTTAAAAGTTCAACTCTGTACTGTTGCAGTTTGAGAAATATAGATAATGTCATACATGAATCATTTAGTAATAGCCTTCGTAAAATCAACTTGTTTACTATTGGAGTTACCACACTTTAAATAAAGAAGAGACCGTGAAAGTAACATCATTTAAAAAAAAAAAAAATTACCCTAAGTTTCTGTTAAAGCGGAGTTTCTTATTTAAAAAAGAAAACTCATCTGAAAAGCATTTGCACAGTAAAATGTATAATGAAGCTTTGACAACCAGATTGTGCTAGCAACAGATTTTTTAAAAAATAGCTTTATCCATTGGTAACAAGGTGGCCTCTGTCTCAAGGAGATTTAGTAAAATAAATGTGGTCTTTCCTAAGACCCAGCTGGACTTTGCCAATAGTATAACTCCTGCCCTCTGGCCACTTGATGTTTTAAATATCTGAAACATCATTTTGAAAAAAATATATGTATATGTAACACATGTGAAGAGATGCTAAGCTGACAATGGTATTTTAGCACATTTGAAGAGTGGGAAAGGATTTTCAGGTGAATTTTAACTGGTCTATTCTTGCCCTTAGTATCTACTTCAAATTGAAGTCTACAAACAAAGCAGTTCCTTTGGGAGGTTTTTGAGTTTTGGTGTGTGTATGTGTGAGTGTGTGTATGTGTGTGTGTATGTATGTGCATCTACCTGTGTGTGTGTTGGATTTCCTATCTGCCTGGATATATTAGCAGGTTTGAATGTAGTTTTGGCCTTTGGCCATTAGACTTCTATTAAAATTCATTAATAGTCACACGGCCAACATAAAGTTGATTGAGAACCGCCGATATACCTAATAGGCATGATATCCATTTTAAACATCTCAACACTTTCTAAAGAAAGACAAGCCCTTTGTTTCAAGAAAAGGCAGTGTTTAACTAAATAACATAATTGACACTAAAATATGAATTTTATCTTAGTCTCTGTTACAGCTGTAAATTTTCAGGCAGAGCCCTAACATTGTACAGAATGTAGCATTTGTGATTAAACTTTGCTATCACATTCTGAAACCTTCAATCAGTACTTCTGTGAGTACTTTTGCCCTGGGATTTGGGTTTTTCTGTTCCAGTGTTGTGTCTGTTGCCGGCAATGGACACATCATATCTGCTGCTGGCCCACGGAACTTCAGTTTTCTTTCCAAGTTATGCACTATATGTGCTAGTCAGTGTATAGTAAAGCACTTCTTCTTTTTTTTTTTTTTTTTTTTTAATTACTAAAAGCTGGCATAGACTTGCATTACAAATACCTCTCTAGAAACTTTGTACTTCTACTTTTCCTCCCACAACAGGTGTTACCCTTAAATCTTATCTTTTGGCCTTGAAAGTTTATAGCTGTTGCTTTTCAGTTGAGTTTTTGTTTCACCTTAGTTCTGTAGTAGCTGCCCATTAATATTTTTGCCTTGATTCTAGTAATGTATATGTAACCATATAAAAAATAAAATAATGAAAGCAGCCTAAAAATAGGATGCAACAATAGCATGTGGTTCCAAGTAAATTGTGATTTTATTTTGAGACACTTGTTCCACTGGAAGGGAGGGAAGGGCTTACATTCCCAGGCAGTAAAGCAGGGCTAGAATGGAGCCACACTCACTTGCAAAACCTTCTTTCCTAGCTATGTTTGCTTTATTTATTTGAAAGTTAGCTAACAAGTTTAATCTTTTTAACTTTCTAAAATAGGCAGGCAGGAAGATTCCTACTAGTGGTGCAAGGTAAGTGGCTTGACATATATATAGGTGGCCTTTTCTGCCACTCAGTCACCTACTGTTTTAGTCCTGCAGCCAGGTAAAGCCACTATGATATAGAAACTCTCCCTTGTGCCCTATCTCTACCTCTGGACACAACAGCTCCTCCTTCTACCTATTAGTCCTATTCCTCAGTTACGCACAGCTGATCAGTCGTATTAATGGGTAGATAATTTAACAGGATGTCTATTGTGAAATAAGGAGTTTTTTTTACCCTTTCATTATATAAAGCCCAAGGTAATTTTTATACTAAAGACTGAGTATTCCACTTAGCAAATGTCCCACTGACATAGGTTATGAAACCACTTGTGCTGCCTGATATTTATCAAACTTGAATAACTGTGTGTCAACTTGATACTGAGTGTCTCCCTTCTAATCTTATATTTTGATTAATTATAGCTCATCTACCAAGAATATAATCCAGGCAGCTAATAAACACAAATTATTACTCTGCAGACTGATTATAGATGATTAAATTTTGAACAGTTCTGCTGCTTGGCTTTGGGTTTTGTTTTTTTGTTTTTTTAGTACTGAGGATTAAACCCAGGGCCTCAAGCATGGTAGACATTTGTGCTCCACCACTAAGCTGTAAGTTCCCAGTCTTGCTTCATGTTTAGATTCAGCCCCTCAGAAATACTTACAATAAAGATATTCTGAAGAAGGTTCTTAAAAATTCTAGGAAAAAGTGTTTTGTAAAAAACACAATATAGTCATTTGCAACTGGAGAAAATAAAGGAAAGCAGTAATTTTTATAGTATAGACTATCTAGGATCATTCTTAAAGAGCTATCCATGGATTAGATTCACAATAGCTGCTGTATCATAAGCCCTTTAATAATTTAAGCCCCCAATTTTTTTGAAATACAACTTGGGCTCCCATTATCAAACTCTGGTCTATGGCAAATGTATTAAGACTAGTTTCGTATTCAGAAGGTTTACTACAATTTCTGCAATTTTTCATAGTGTAGAAGCTTTGAGTTGAATACTGTATGAAGAGGACAAAGTCTGGTTTTGCAACATTTATGCTGATAAAATAGTGTTTGGTATAAAAACAATGTCCATTGTTGGCACATTACTGGAAAATGATGGCAGATATTTTAAAGAGAATACAAGATAAGGCTGGATTTCCTTGATACCCATTTTCATTTGCTCAAGGTTGCAGATTCAGAGGAGTTTCATTGAGAACAAATTCAAGTTATTGGTAATCTCCTTTTAAAAAAGTGATCTGCCACAAAACCAAAAAGTTGAAATGGTAATGAAGTTGTTGAAAAAAACATTTTTTAAACACATTAATTTTAAAGACTATTACACATATCCAGATTTCACCGTTTGGAGGATAGCCCATTTTATCATATACATTTTTTTKGGGGGGGGGTACCAGGAATTGAACTCAAGAGGCACTCAAACACTGAGCCACATTCCCAGGCTATTTTGTATTTTATTTAGAGACAGGRTCTCATTGAATTGCTTCGTGCTTTGCTTTTGCTGAGGCTGGCTTTGAACTCTTGATCCTCCTGCCTCAGCCTCCCAAGCCGCTGGGATTACAGGCATGCGCCACGGTGCCCTGCCCATTCTATAATATACATTAAGAAAAATGTGGACGTTTACTTGTTTAAATTGAGAGTCAAAATGATAAGAATTGTATGTTATTTTTAAATGGGGCTGATGGAATTTCCTTTGTCACGAAGAATGCTTGGATAGCTTCTATTTGTGGTCATAAGGGATGCTGACCATTCACCTCTGTGGTAGAACTATTTTGTTCTACCATATAAATGTAAAGAATCTAATGAATCTCTAAGTTCAATGCTCAGAAAAAACTGTGAACTCCATTCTTTACAACACAGTGGAGCAAGACCATAATTCAAGATGTTGTTTTACAGGTTTAGAAAACAGTATTCAGACCCAGATATTTTTTCAAATGGAATGTGTATGTATACATCACATACATACATGTTCTATATACACACAAACGCTTTGGGTAAGTATTAATGTATCCATCATTGACTTACAAAGAGAAATAAGGCAAATAATGGCATTGCAACTGATATCAAATTATGAACATCATTTAATTACAGATAGTCTAGAGAAAGATAGTTTCTCTTATTGGTTTGACAGTCTCAAAATATATTCCTGGGTCCCCAAGAAGCAGAGAATGCCAACACTGCATATCTGCTGTAACCTACCTAGTCCTCATCTGCTTAATATAATCCATTATTAAACTCTCTTTGAAAAAAATCCATTCCTATTCTCAGTGTGTACCTGTAAACCTACCTTGGAAGTGGCAAGCTAACTGCTGAATTTTTTTTTCTTTTTTAGTTGTTTCTATACCAATTCTATAAAAGATAAAGTCTTTTGTTATAATGTATTTAAAGTGGGTTGTTTTGTGTTCACTTAAATGATTTGTTTTCAAAATATTTCACTTCAACTTAAAATTATTTAACATTTTAAGTGCCAAGAATTGCTAAGTAACTGTGTAACATATTGAAGATAGAGTCATTTCCAAGTAAGTCATAAGCCAAAATGTAGAAGGCTTCATATATAGCTACTTTAGATTGTAAACCCAACATTTATTTCATACATACAAACCCTCTCAGAAGTTGATTAAAATAGGATCCCCTAAAAGAGTGAACTTTTTTCCTCATCTTGGTCATGTAAGCTCTTGGGTTTTTTTGTTTGTTTGTTTATTTTATTTCATATTTATACCACTTTGCTCTGGGAAATACTGTAAACCCAATTCTGGCACAGTATAGTGGTTTCAATTATTGAAAATGCTATTTTTATTATAATAACTTTTAAGATGAGTCTATCCTTTACATAAGTTATATGAGAGAGGGTACAACAAATTATTAAATGAGTAAGAATTTATTAAACACCTTAGACATTTGGAATGAAACATTTTTAAAAGGAACTACATTTGTATTTTTTGCCAAACTGGTACAAGCTAGAGAAAATGCTAAGGACTGAATAACCTGCCGCCTTTTTGCCACTGGATGATGTAAGTTAAGAATGGAATTGTTAATCCTGACTTTTTATTTTCTTGACTTTCATCAGCTTCTAAAGGAATCTAATTTAAGTGTTTTGGAGTTTTGTTTGATCTGTATTTATTGAGTTCTGGTCAGATACCAGGAACCTGCATGTCATGTTTATGGACAACCAGAACACAGTCATTGGGGAACTTAATGGCTCAAGACCTTCTGAATCGTTTAACTTATTTTGTATGTTGCAAAAAACAAACAAACAAAAAAGTTTATTTTGCTTGAGAGTCACATTTTTTTTTATAACTGTACAGCTTTTAAGGGATGGGAGGTGGGAAAATACCCTGAAATAGGATGTAGATTTTTAAAATTGTGTTTATGCTAGAACATCTACAGGTGCATTATGTAATTAAACCTCAAATTGTTTAAAAATTTGTGCCATGGTCTTTTTCATTCTACTGCCCATTAGCAGAGTTGATGCATGTCAATACTGCTATTATGGACAAACCTTGAAATTAAATTAAAACCACTCTCTCCAAAGCTGTAAGATCGTTGCATGAAAATTATACCCATACATACATGTAGACACATACATATACACAAAGATCTAGTTAATATTAGTGTAAATGGATTTTCAGGATCAGAACAGGTATAAACAGCCCAAATTTGGCAGTTAACAGCATATTGTTTCAGTGCATGATTTCTGTGATGCCTACTAGGGTATTCTCAATGTCGGTCTAGTGTTTTGTTCTTTTATCAAAAGTAGCTTCTTGATCATTGTATCTGAATAATAGCTTGCCCAAAACTGCCATGAGGTTTTATGTACACTTTGAAAGGGGGATATTTTGCTCTCAGATGGGGGTGGAGGGGTAAGGCTTGATTTCTTTTCTCTGTAAAGAAGGGAAAAACTAGAATTGCTCAATTTGGTATTCAATAGACTTAATTTCACAGAAATATTTGCTGAATCATGGCAGGAGGGGAAATTAAGATTCAAATTTCAATTCTCTCCTTTATTGGTAAGTATTTTTGAAATCTTGTAGAACTGCTGCTTTTAGCACAGTCTTTTTACATGGCACATTTTACCATGTTTTACTGACACCTTTTTAAAATGCCAGTACTTTCTGCCATATAATTTTACCATTATAATTACTCATCTTTGTAGCACAACTGCATTCTTGTAAAGAATTAAAATAATCTAAATGTGTCCTAATTTTTAAGCTACCTTCATCTATTGTCAGCTAATGTCGGAAGTCAGTTTCTTTGCTATCCTTATCCATTCAGAACACTGGGGACCATGAATTTCCATGTGAGGAATACAATTCCAGATAAGAATTTATAAATTGTCTATTTTAGAATTTCACTTTGATTTTAAAGTAGGAAGTGGGATTCAGGAAGTGTTTGGTCAGAATGCCTCTTGGATTTTCAGACATGCTTAAATATGAAATGCTTTATTTTCCTATGCATAAAAAACTTATTTCTGGAATAGGTTCTCAGAATATTTTGTTTCTAGATGAGAGCTAAAGCAGAAGCTCCAAGATTAGCATAAATCTAACTCTTGAGGTAATTAGAACCGTGATGTTAGTCAAATAGAAGATGAAGTGCTTTGTCACATAATAATGTACTGCATGTGTGAGGGAGGGGGGAAGAGATCTGAAAACTGGAAACGTGATTCTGATAACACAAAGTAAATTCTGTGCATAAAAAGTATGGGAATCCTGATAGCTTAATGCTTCAGAAGTTAACTGCAGTGTATGAACACCTAGTGTGTTAGAATTGCAGTGCATAGTTGTTCAAATACAATATTCCTTGTGACAACCAAAATGTTGTGGCTGATGCCAATATTTTTGTTAATGAAATGTTCATGTCTCACTACAGTCTGATCAGAACTCTTAGTGTTATAAGCCAGGCCTAAAGCCATTTCATAGCTACTGGCCTAATTGTGTAATTTTTTTCTTTCATAATGTTTTATTATTATAATACTTCTGTCATTTCTTTCACTTAATATATGTCAATTGTCATAATAAAAAATTTAAATAATATGATGTACTTAGCATGTTGTGTTTACAAACAGTCTATTTTGTGGCATGTGGAAAGCTAAGAATTTTCTGTAATAGCATCATGAAGGTTAAAATATTTTTGTCAGCCGGTAATAGATTATTCTTTCATTATCTAGAAAGTAGATTTACAAGTTCATCAGTTTCCCCAAAATAATTTTTAAAACTATTTTTCATCCAGGTAAATACAGATACTAGAAAACTACTGGTTTCTATCTTGGCCTCTGATGAACTGATACATTAAAGAGGCCATGGACTTGTTCTGCCTTAAGAGCAAGGAACTAGACCAGAGCACAACAGCTGGGCAAACATTTTCAGTTCATTTGTGGGGCAGGAGGTAATTTAGTTCTTTTATTAAACAACTTTGGGAGTAAATTCGTGGGAACGGGATGTTTTAAGTATAGGCTGACTCACCTGCTATTTGGCAGGAATATTATAGATTGATATTTTCAAAAATGAATCAGACCAGATGACTTTAATGGGCCTTCCAACCTTGAGAATGATTTTCATCTGTAAATTTTGATCTGATAGTTTTCTCTTACTTTTGGAATGCAAAATTCAAATTGAGGTGGTTTGTAGAGAAATGGTGCACACCTGTAATCCCAGCACCTCAGGAGGCTGAGGCAGGAGGGTTGTGAGTTCAAAACCAGYCTCAGCAAAAGCGAAGCACAAAGCAACTCAGTGAGACCATGTCTCTAAACAAAATACAAAATAGGGCTGGGGATATGACCTATTGGTATAGTGGTACAGTGCCCCTAGTTCAATCCCCAGTACCTCCCCTCAAAAAAACTGAAGTCATTTGTTTACCAACAAACTAGCAGATGTCACCACTATTTCCAATTTTGATTGAAAATATTGATCAATGATTTAAGTAAAGAGCTTTTGAATCAGAATTTCACTTAATGGAGTGAAAGCTGATATACACTGACAAGAGTATGGCCAGTTGTAATGCTTCTCAATGATTTATGTGAAATTTTCACTTAAAAAAATGTCAAGCAGAAGTAACATCATGTTGGAAGCCAAAGGTGACAGTGCCATGGCAGCCTCAAGAGAGTTCAAAGCAGGCTGGGGTTGTGGCTCAGTGGTAGAGCGCTTGTCTAGCGCCTGCAGGGCACTGGGTTGCATCGTCAGCACCACATAAAAATAAATAAATAAAATAAAGGTATTGTGTCCAACAACAACAACAAAATAAAAGAGGTCAAAGGAGTCTTTTGAGCTGAGAATGGGGCCTAGAACATAGCTGCCACCCCACAGCTCTTGATTATGAGAACAAATAATAAACAAGAGTTCTTTTAAAAACTAAGAATTGGTGATCATTTAGTAGAGGTGGAATTATAATAAATAATGAGAATATCTTAATGAAATGTTGGCACCCTTCTGAAGAGATGAATGTTTTTGTCACTTTGATTCTTCAATGACTACATGAACTCTTTTCAGGTCATATAAGTCTAAATGAAAATCAAAGAGAAAGGACACTCTTAAAAGGATGTGAGCTGGTACATGAAACATTAGTTAAGCACACACAGTCACATCCCAAAGGAAAAGTTAACTAGGAATCTACTAGTTCATAGTATAGGCCACCTATCACTTCCTTATTATGTCTCTTGCCTGTTTCAGAGCCACTGTACCCATGTATCAAGCACCCATCATACCTAGCCAGTCTCCAAGGAGGAGACACTTTTTGTAGCAACCCCTTTGCCTGCTTCCTTGATCTGATAGCTTTCCTCTTGCCTCCTTTGAGTCTTTCACATCTCAATTATCTCTGTCTTGGATCTCCATCCTTTTACACTCACCCTCTTTATAGAAAGCTCTCCCCATTAAGGAAAAAAAAGTTTGATACCATCATTGGTTCAATCTCTCTCCAAATTGTTTCTAGCTTGACTTCCAGTCTTTAAAACTGACAGACTAGAAATATTAAACTGTATTTGGAAAGTCTCATTGAAATGTCACAAATTCCTAAGAGAAACCAGTAGGCTTCTGGCCAATAATAACTGAACTCTATCATTAGGAACAACTGTTACAGAAAGCTGAAACTTACAATGTGGGGGGAGGGTGGCTATTCCTCCCTTCCTCTGGCAATTATTTCATGTTTTTCTGTTGAATGTCTATTTTGTTGCTTGTTGACATCTTTACTTACAAACAGGATACCAGTAATTGCACTATGATCTCACACACTATAGATAGCTTATATTTTTCCATTTGGAGCCAAAAACTTGAAGAACTTGATTAACAATGACAGAACCTCACTAGAACTTGTGTCAACGTTCTAATAATAATTTTGATCTAATAAGAATGGATTTATTGGATACATTTTTGAGTACCAGGGGATAAACTCATGGACACTTTTGACCACTAAGCCACATCCTCTGTCTCAGCCTTCCAAGCCACTGGGATTATAGGCATCCACCACCGCACCCAGCTGGCAACATAACTCTTACTACTAAAAGTCTGAAATCTTTATGGGTTAGGGATATAGCTCGGTTGGTAAAGTGTTTACCTTGCATGCACAAGGCCCTGGGTTCGATCCCCAGCACCACAAAAAAAATAAAGAAAAAAAAACAGTAAAATGAACCTCTGTCAACTATTTCAAGAGGTGGAAGTTTACACTGAAAATGCTGGACTTGGAATAAAAAGGCAGGAATCTAATTACTAGTATTGGGAACTAGTATTATTTTAAAATATTTTTAGTTGCCAATGAATATTTTATTTATTTGTATGTAGTGCTGAGAATATTGCATGCTAAGCAAGAGCTCTACCACTGAGCCACAACTCCAGCCCCATGGATATTCTTCAGCAAATCACTTGAATCTTCTGATCTTCAGTTTTATATGTAAAGTGTGCATAATTATAGCTACCCTGCCTACCCCACAGAATTACTATAAAGTTCAAAGGAAATAATGGGTAAGAAAAGCCTTCATTTAAAAAGCAAAACTCTGCATAAATATAAGAATAATGTGTTAACTGCCTACTGCTTAAGTTATTCACAGGAATTTACATAAAAGGCAGAAAGTACAAATTCGCCTCTTCCAATTCTTGGTGATATGCTTCAGTTGGCTTTTAAATGTATTTTCATAAAAGCATCCTCTGAACCTGGCACTGTAATGGGTGCAGGAAGGGCTCTTTCTCCTGGCTTGGGATGTAGCTCAGTGGTAGAGCACTAGGCTAGCATGCTCATAGCCCTAGGATTGATCTCTGGAAAAAAATTAGAAAGCTCCTTGTCATAGCTAAGATCCCTTTCTTAAGTTTTTATCAGTTATAACCTTGGTTAAAATAGGCATTTTATCCAAGTGATGCACTTGGGCAGTGACTTATTTTAAATGACACTGTGAAAACTAGGTCAAATTAATATGAAAATATTATACTTGTTTCAGCCAATTTTTTCCTGTATTATATAGGGAATTCCATTTCTGAGCATAGCATTGGTTATTCAATCAAATAGCCAGTCACAAATAAATGTCCTATGTGCAACCTCAATCTGGTCACTTCTCAAGTTAGATTTACAAACTATTTTCAAAGCCTCTTTCTCCTCCTGAAGTCACCTTGGGGAACTGAGTCAGCATCCACTCATACTCTTACACTGGAAATTTAGAAAGATGTAACATTTCTCTCTTCTTCATGCATCCTGATCTTCACCTTCACAACCATCTTCCCCACGATCTATTCTAAGATAGCTGTGGAATCCTTACTGCCAGTGTTGCCTATAGTAGGGCAAAGAAAGACTCCTCTCTTTCTGTGTAGTGTGCCCCGCCCCGAGTCTTGCTACCAACAAACTAATCCAGTTTAAAAATCTACATTCCGCGAAACTCTTGGGAAGATACAAATAAAACTACCCTACACGTCAGGTCCTCCAGGCTCAACAGTCTTACTGCATAGGTATCATCATCCTAATTTGATAAGCAAGAAAAGTGGAACCTACAGGACCAGGTCCCTCATGACACACTTTTGCTCTTGAATTTAATCCCTTATGTCTCATCTGTAAAACTGGGTCGATAATAGAAAATTTCTTCATATATTTGTCATAAAGAATTAAGAATAATACAAGTAACGTCCCTAGCAGTGTGTGGCATACAACACTCCGTTACTTCAGCCACTACTACAACTATTTTTCGCTGCTCTCATTACTTTTCTGTTAGGATCTAACGAAAAAGCAAATCAAGAGTTCCAGATCTGAGGGATTCTTTCCCCTTCAGAGCCCCATCTCCTTACTGCCTAGCTCTAATCCCCGCGTTAATTACCTCTTTGTGCTGGTGCCCGCCTGACAGGTGGGAATAGGTAGCTCCTGCGCTAGGGCGATGTCAGGACCTAGACTGATGTCTGTTGCGTGGCTGTGTAAAACTGACATGTGAACAGGTTCGGTGAGGCGGGAGCAGATGAAAAGAACCCAGCTAGATTTCTGACCTCTAGATGATTGTGGTCTCTATTTTCCTGTGCATCCTCAGGTGACTTCACGTCTCAGGCCCGTTTCCGCTTTTGTAGAAAAAGGCATAATAATATTCCTTGTACTTCGTCTCACAGGGCTGCTGTGACGACCTTGAAGTAGGATGTGCTAGAGAAAGTTCAATTATTCCAAGTGTAGGACCTTAGAAAGGGAGAGGGGGGAGTAGTGTCACGTGACAAATCCGGGCGTCAAAGAACTGTGAGCGCTTTGCCTAGAGCGTCTCATCTCTATGGTCGAGGGCGCTCAAATTCTGGTGCAGGCTAAGTTGTTCTTCCGGGTTGCTTGCCACCGCTTCCGGGGCGTGTTGCAGCGAGCGGGTATTGCTGTGTCTTAGCTTTCTGAGAACCTGTTTCGATGCTCCCGGGTACAATGAGCTTCCTAAAGAGTTTCCCGCCTCCGGGGCAGGATGAGGGGCTTCGGCAACAGCAGCCAGATACAGAGGCTGTGCTGAACGGAAAGGGCCTCGGTATCGGCACTCTTTACATCGCGGAGAGGTAGGGTCCCTTTTCACCAGCGATGGCCTCTGGCGCAGGCAGTGCAGAGGAGCGGGGCGATATGCGACCTCAGGGCTGCCGGGAGCAGAGCGCGTGCTGTGCGTCCTSGGGAAGACTCTATTATTCCACGGTGCCCTTCCCTGGAGCCTTTCTTTCTCCATTCTCCAGGTGGAATTTCCCACAGTTTGTGCTTTTCTACCCGCCTGTCTACTGGAGACCTGGAGCGTGCGTTGTCATTAGTTCATGGTCACGGTTAAGGTTTTGAGTTTTCGAATTCTGAGTTAGACTTTCGGTGTGCTTGTCTTTGTGAAAGAACTTGTGAGGAGGATGTTGCCCTGCATAGGATATGTAAGCTCAGAGCAAATTGTAGGGGATTTTGAAAGTTTGGTTAAGGAGTATAGATTTTCTTCTCTAGGTGTGGATGGGAAGAGGAACATCCTCAATCCCACGCACGCTGGGATTAGATCCAGAGGCACCTGACTTACGTTTTGGGGTCCTGGAAGGAATTTCTTTTATTTGAACACCTGTAGCACCTTGGAATTTCACAGACAGACGTGTCTTAAATATTGCTTTTGAAGTCCATGTTGACTTGACGTGTAACCCCCTTCTTCCAAACTGACAGTGACACGAGTCGTCCTTCGCAGACTCTGATTACCCCTTTTGCTTCCTTCTATAGCCATAGAATTCTCTGCTTTTTTTATATATTTATTTTTAGTTGTATTTGGACACAATACCTTTATTACTCTCATTTTTTTTTTTAATGTGGTGCCAAGAATCGAACCCAGGGTCTTGCGTGTGCGAGAAAAGTACTCTACCGCTGAGCCACAAGCGCAGCCCCAAATTCTCGGCTTTTAAAAGGTCATGTGATTATATTGGGCCACCCAGATAACAGGATAATCTCCCTATATTATTGTCTATTGATTAGTAAATTTAATTGCATTCCCAAAGTCCTTTCTGCCATTTAAAACATATTTACAGTCATGACACCAGGAAATAAATGTCTTGGAAGCCAAAATTCTGCCTACTAGAGTCCTGGCATAAAAGTTGTAAAGAACCTTGATTCAGAGGGAAATTTAGATGCTGGGCAAAGTTTAGGTTTTTTACCTAGTCACTGAGGAAGTATAGCTAGAAACAAAAGCAAATTTGGGATGAAGGGCAGGTCATGAGTTTGGTCTGGACATGTATGGAATAAACACATAAGTGTGTCTCTCCTAGGGGAGTGGTATTAAAGATTTGGAAGTCATTACAATAAATATTAACATATACTGATGGGAGTTGAATAACTCAAGAAGAGAACACTATAGGAGTTGGGGTTGTGGCTCAGTGGCAGAACGCTTGCCTCCAATGTGTGAGGCACTGGGTTCGATCCTCAGCATCACATAAAAGTAAATAAATAAATAATAAAGGTATTGTGTCCATCTACAATTTAAAAAAATATTTTTTWAAAAAAGAAGAGAACACTATAGATAGAACCTTGTGGATACAACTACATGAAGAGGTGAGTCATGGAAGAAGAATAAAGACAGATAAAATCAAAAAAGCGTCTGTTGGGTATCGACAAGAAGATCTTTAATCTTGGGGACAACAGTTTCTTTTAAATAGTAAAAGCTAGAGCACAGATATATTTCAAACCCTTATACAATCTTTTTTCTTCATTGCATGTCCATACATTGGTTCTTCTTTCTAGAATTTCTTTTTTGGGAATATCTGGTACTTGATTTTGTATTTTGAAAAGTTTCAGACTTAAAGAAAAGCTGCAAGTGTTATTAACACTTCTTATAAAGATTCATTACTGAGGCTGGGGCTCAGTGGTAGAGCCTTGGCCTTGTATATATGAGACACTGGGTTCAATCCTCAGTACCACATAAAAATAAATACATAAAGATACTGTGTTCATCTACAGCTAAAAAAAATATTTAAAAAAAAAGATTTATTACTTGTTAACATTTTACCATATATCTTTTTTTCTTGAGCTGTTGGAGAATTACAGGCATGTTTTTCACCTCATCTTAAATACATTAACATATACTTCTGAAGAACAAGGACAATCACAACCCAGTTGTCACACTCAGGAAGTATTAAATCCTTTTAAGATTTTATCTGTTTTTTTTTAAAGTTTTGATTTATAATCAACTTTTCACTAACAAATTTCTCATTTCTTTAAGAAAACATTTTTTTGTAATACGTGTGTAAAAATTGTATATATAATGTACAAGTTATGTATGTATAAAATATAATTTTTTGAGATTTCTTTTTTTCATATTTTTACTTGTGTGTTGTAGCTGTACATAATTGTGGGATTTGTTGATATATATTTATGCATTCATACAACATAGCAATATAATTTGGTCAGTATTACCCATTATTTTCCCCTGCCCCCCCCTCCCACCCGCCATCTCTTTCCTTTACTGGTCTCCCTTCAATTTTCATGATCTTCACCACCACCACCTTTCTTTGTCCTCTCTAGCTTCCACATATGAGAGAAAACACATGACCCTTGACTTTGAGTTTGGCTTATTTAACTTAACCTAATGTTTTCAAAATTCCATCCATTTTCCTGCAAATTACATAATTTCATCTTCTTTGTGGTTGAATAAAACTCCATTGTGTATATATACACATTTTGTTTATCCATAAATAATTATAATTAAACCAACACTTGGATATCTGTATATATCTCTTCACTCACCATTACCCCACCTCCTTGTTTATCCCCCTTTTTTGTTCTTTCCCACCTAGCATTCCAAGTTTTTAACATACTGGAAAGTCTTCCTGAAGAATGTGACAAATGATAATTAACAGCCAGGTGAATGGGGAAATGTTCTAATTAGAATAAACAAGATAGCTAGATGCAWGGTTGAAAACCATTATTCTGTGTACCAGGATATGTATGTGTGTATTTCACATAGACACACACAGCATATACATGTATACCCAGTCCAGCAGTTCTTCAATAAACCTGGAGCAGGAGAGAGCCATATTCATGAGCATGGTTTATGATTATAACCCTTAGGCTTTGTGGAAGCTACTTTAGGATTTCAGGCAAAGAGGAATAGTGTCACATTTGACTTTTAGTAAATAGCTTCTAAAGTATGTATTCAAAGAAGTAAATTTTGCAGCCTTATTTTCAGAGTTCAGTTTTATAAGAAGTCGACTTTTTATCCAGATTAACAAAGGTATAGAGGCATGGATAATTCAAAATAGGCCACTTAAAACAGGTAAGATAGATAATTAAGTAACAAATAAATAACTGAAACTTAGAAAAAATTCCTTTTTGCATCTCATTCAGAATTAATTTTAAACCAAATAATTATGCCAATCCAAGTTTAAGACCTCTCTTGATCCCCTGTCCTGTTTTTTTTTTTTTTTTTTATCCCATGCCAGGAATAAAGGACACTGACCATGCTTGTGCAAAAGCATGAGTTTAGCAAAAACATTTCTGAAATGCCAGCTACTTAGGAGACTGAAGCAGGATTGCTAGTTTGAGGCCAGCATGGTCAGCTTATTGAGACCCTGTTTTACAGCTTAAAAAAAGTACTAGGGATCTAGCTGAGTAGTTGAGTCTTTGCCTAGCATGGGCGAGGCCCTGAGTTCCCTTCCAAGCACTAAAAAGAAAAAAAAAAAAGAAAAAGAAAAAATTATCTCTACATGTTTACTGGCTAATTCTTTTTTTTTTTTTTTTTTTTGACTCGGTTTTTTAGAACTGGGTGTAGTCAATTGTGTATTTTGGTTTGGGAGGAATTTTCTTCTAAAATACATGAAAAGAAACTAAAAAATCTGAACTTAATGATCAGGTAAAAATAACTTTTAAGTGCAATTTGTCCCTGTCCTAGGGTGCTGAATCCATTTCTATATATTACTGTGAGAGTTCCATTGGAAATGCTGTGCTAAGGCAGTAGTCTTGTCAGCAGTGAGCAACTACATAGCACTTATTATGGTTTTTAAATTGAAGTCTGTAATTTGATAGGCACTGATTCTATGTTTAGATTTCAAACATAAAATGTTTTGTGACTTTGAATGTTTGAAGTTATTTTGGACATTTAGGTATAGAATGTTCCTTTCTAAATTATGATCATACCAGAAGACTTTTGAGGTAAGAAAAGGGCAGTTTGTTTTAAGATAAAATGGTTTTAGTAGAGCGATTCTCTGGTCCACGAACACTCTTCTATCTCTACATTAAGAAGAAAGAAACAAACAGAAAAGGCGCATACATCGCACAGTCTAATTACATGATAAAACCTGTTTCTTTGAACTGTTGGGGATGAGTCATTTTGAAAAATAATTTCTAGAGTTCTTTTTTTAATATTTATTTTTTTAGGTGTATTTGGACACGAGGCCTTTATTTATCTATGTATTTATTTATTTATTTTTATATGGTGCTGAGGATCCAACCCAGGGCCTCGCATGTGCCGGGCGAGCGCTGTACCTGAGCTACAACCCCAGCCCCAATTTCTAGAGTTTTTATCACTTCATGCTCTCTACAGTTTTAAGCCACCCAGATTTTCCTTTTCTTTCTTTTTTTTTGCCCTTCACAGCTGTATTATAACTTTATTTAACAACTCAGTAAAAGCCAAAATTGATGGATTTTAACATGATATGTGGAGAACAAAGTCAAGGGATATAAAGTGCCCCAAAAATCATTCTGTTCAATACCAGTGCCTTCAATATTACCAAACTTCTGTGAAAGAAGCCTTATAATAAAGAAAGACTAAAATCAGTATAAAACATTTTTTAAAAAAGCTCATTTAGCAATTCTGACAATCTAGAAAAGAAGGTCTGACTATAATACCGGATAACAGACATCATGTTTTAAGTAGAAAACACAAGAACCAAAAGTAATTATCACTGAAAATATTGCATAACTTCAGCTGTTTCCTCCAAATTTGCTTTATATAATTGTATGGATATAAATTAACGAACAAAAATTTAAGCAAGATACATTAACAATTTAACAGAACCCGATAATCTGATTTCTTCCAATTTTTCTCAAATTCATTTGAGTGTTTCCATCAGGTGCTCTTAAGGAAATCAACATATGGCTACTACAGTTGGATGTCAAATTAAGTACTTATATATACTAAATTCTTCTATAATACAATTATGAAGAATCTTTAAGGAACTTATGTTTTGTAAGTAGAAAAGTGTTAGAGTCAAACATTCAACTCAACAAAAATAAGAAACATTTCTGATTCCTCTGTTAGGTGTAGACTGCTTCCCCTTTTGCTAATGAATGTTGTTTAGCTGTAATATCACTGAGCTAAACAGATAAATCACCTTGAGTACATTGGAAAAATAAACACATGCTAAATGGATATACATTACTACTACATCTTTACTAGACCATCTCTACCTCTAACACTTCAGAAGCTTAGAGATTTAGAGTATTACATTAACTGCAAGAAAAATTAAAGGAGAAATTCCTTTTTTAAGTCATGTTATAAAATTCTGCATTTATGTACAAAACATGAATCACATTTACCTTTATTCTCCCTACTCAGTCTTGTCAATCACCTAGCAGGACTTAACAGATACCTCTCAAAGAAACAGAGACTGAGATGTGTTTACATAACTTCAGTAACCTCATCACTACAGTAATGAGAGATGCAGAATCCTTTTGCTATGGTTCAAGACAACAAGGAAGGAGAGATCACAAGAAAGAGAAATCAGGGCTGGGGATGTGGCTCAAGCGGTAGCGTGCTCGCCTGGCATGCGTGCGGCCTGGGTTCAGTCCTCAGCACCACATACAAACAAAGATGTTGTGTCCACCGAAAAAACTAAAAAATAAATATTAAAAAAATTCTCTCTCTCTCTTTCTCTCTCTCTCTCTCTCTCTCTCTATAAAAAAAAGAAAAAGAGAAATCAAAATTATTACAACTGAGAAACTACTTCTCATTAAGTTTTACCATGGTGCCACCTTCATTTTTACATAAGCATGGTGGCATAATTCAAGCTCAATAAATCAGAAATCTTAATATTTAAAATTTACCTTGACTTTCATTTATCACCATATTAACCAAAAGAATTAGATAAAACACATAGGAAAGGGTAATATTAAACCCACCTTGCTGAGTTGATTTATTGACACATTAACTCATTTTTATATAGAAAAGGGATAGTGCATCTCAGTTTGCTTACAAGCTAGGAGATCACTTAAAATTCTGCATTTCCTAACTGCAAACAGAATATAGCACTTACAACAGGTTATAAATAAACTGGTTTTCAAGCATAGAGTCAGCCCCAATGATAATATACTATTTATCTAGAAAAGGCAATGAATTCCATTTCCAATGGAAAAAAAGAACTATTCAAACAAGCTTAAGACTATTTGTGTGTGTGTGTGTGTGCCAGTGTTATAAAATGTAGCTTTTAATAAAACCTTGACCCAAATGCCATTAACTTCAGAAAAGAATTTGGTGGAGAGAAGAAAGTTATTTCATTTAGGAAAAATAACCACTATCTTTTTTCCTAATCTTCAACACGCACCATTTAAACATATACAGTTGCTTTAACACTTTACATAATTCCTATGTACTGGAGCAATAACAAGGTCTAAATACAATTATATTCTTAAACACTGGGTCAGGGCTTTACATAAAAATACCATCCTACTTCCCCCCCACCCAAGTTTCTAAAATATCATACTTTCTTCAACATCTGCATCCATCCAGGAATTTTTAGGAAACTTTTTGTGCATGATCTTAATTCCTAATCCCTGGCTCTTTGCGCTCAGTGACGAAAGATCAAAACCACCAAAAATGATGGTTCACTTGAAGTCAGAGAGACCCTGGCTCAATTAGTCTCATAGAATGAGAGCAGTGCTGCATCAACTGGCTCCATGCAGGAGGGGCAAGTGAAGGATCTCAACAACCAGTCATCTATACAGTCCAGGTGATGTGCATGCACAGAAGAAATCAAATTGGGTCCCCATAAACAAAGTCAATCATACAGATCACACACTCCCGGATCTTTTTTTCTGATCCATCTCTTCCAGGGTCATAAACTCCTTCAGGCAGATGCTGTGTAAGGCCTATTCTTTGAGCTATCCTGATTTGTTCCTCTTCAGTCAGCTGAGTTGCTAGCCGAGTCTGGCTAGGTGTTTGATGATAAACTGGAACTGGAACTTGTTCCTGATATGGCGGTGGCGGCTCCTGATCCGGCTCTGTCCCCTCGCCAAAGCTAGCCTGGTTGGACCGAGACTCGTGAAGCAGGGAGATGTCATCCGAGGTGGGAGATTTGAGACAGTTCCCCATCTTCCAGGGCTGGGGTGTGTGGTCTTTGCGCCGTTCTGGCGGTCTTCTCCTGGCTTTCTTTTTTTTGTACCAGGGATTGAACCCAGGGGCCCTCAACCACTGAACCATATCCCTAGCCATTTTTTGTATTTTATTTAGAGACAGGGTCTTCCTAGTTGCTTGGGGCCTTGCTAAGTTGCTGAGGTTGGTTTTGAACTCATGATTCTCCTGCCTCAACCTCCTGAGCCATTGGGATTATAGGCATGTGCCACTGCACTCAGCAATGGCTTTCAATTTTTTAAAAAGCTGCCATTAACTGGGAGGCTGAGGCAGGAGGATCACAAGTTCAAGGCCAGTCTCAGCAAGTTAGTGAGGCCCTAAGCAACTTAATGAAACTGTCTCAAGATACAAAATAAAAAGGGCTGGAAATGTAGCTAGTGCTAAAGCACTTCAGGGTTCAATCCCTAGTACCAAGAAGAAAAAAAAAAGATACAGTTATATTGCCTTCAGTATATTTATGGAATTAAACAGTTAATTACCATAGTCTTTAATACACTGCCTTTGTTTTTTCTTTGTGGGGATGGAGATCTTGCACATGCTAGGTATGCTGTAGCATACCATGCTAAACATGTGTTCTATCACTGAACTACAGCCCCAGCCCTTTTTAATTTTTTTTTGTTTTGGGACAGGATCTCACTAAATTGTCCAGGTTGACCTCAAATTTGCAGTCCTTCTGCCTTAGTCTCCCAAGTAGCTGGGATTATAGAGGTGCTTCTCCATGCTCAGACCTGCCTTTGCTTTTAATAATGCTTTGGATAACTGAGGATCATGTGTTATATACTTGTTATATTGTTCTAGAAAGACTTGAGTGTAGAATTCAACCTCCTCTTCACACTGAATGTGAACAGTTCAGACTGCCATACTGTCCTTGTTCCTGCCCAAGGGAGTCCTGGATTCTCCTATTATACTTTTGTTTTTGATTGGGTAGATATTAGGTACCTCAGCTTATTAAAAGTGTATAGAAAAATTTGGGGCTGGGGTTATGGCTCAATGGTAGAGTGCTCGCTTCACACAAGCGAGATCCTGGGTTCGATCCTCACCATCACATAAAAATAAATAAGTGAAATAAAGGTATTGTGTCCAACTATAACTAAAAAATAAATATTTTTAAAAAAAGAAAATTGAGGGGCTGGGATTGTGGCTCGACTAGCACGGGCGGGACCTGGGTTCGATCCTCAGCACCACATAAAAATAAAGGCATTATGTTGTATCCATCTACACCTAAAAAATAAATATTTTTTTAAAAAAGAAAGAAAATAGAGTGATATGGGAATATTGTTGAATTAACTTCTTTACTTATGTATTTGTTTATTATTTAGTGGTAAGGATGAACCCAGGGCCTCATACATGCTAAGCATCTTCTCTACTGCTGAGCTATACCTCTAACCCCTTAAGTTCTTTTTTAAATTCTCTTTATTGAGGTAATTCACATAGTTTACTGACTTGGTAGTTATCACCACAATCAATTTTAGAATATTTCTAAGATATTCCAGCAAGGTTCCTTAGCAGTCATTCTCTTGTTTCCTACCAGCCCTAGATATCTACCATACTACATGAACTTGTACTACAAAAACAATTTTTGTGCTTCCTTTGTGATCTTTTTGCTAATTTCTGCTAAGTGATATATTCCAAATGGGTAGTTATTACCAAAAAATTAGGCAATACCTATTCAAAATTCAATGTACTGATTTTGGTGATATGTGTCTTTTGTCATATCAATAAAATATTTGCATGTGACCACTTTTGAGGGAAAACTAGACCTAGATTTTTTATAGCTTTTTCCTCAAGCTGGGAATAAAGTGAAAATCTTCATAGTGTGTATCTCTTGTGATTGTGATTATAGCCATTTTAAATGTGTATCATTTAGTGTAAAATTAATGGGGAAATTGGTGATTCAAATACTCATTGCATGCTTACGTGCTGAGCCCTATGCTAATGTTTTCAAAGAATGTTACAGGAATGTGACAAGTCAGGTTCTGCTGTCAAGTAGCAGGTTATATGTAAGATTCATTTCTACAGAGTAAAGCCCTAATTGTATGTTACTGAGCATAAGTGGGGCTTAGGAACAGAGGAGATTATTATAGACTGTGGTAATTGAAAGGAGAGCTCATGGAATTGCTGGGGACTTAACTAGATAAGGAAGATTGGCAAAAGGAAATAGGGTACCTGAAGACAATCCAAATAAAAATAAATCACTTTTAAAAAATTGCATTTTAAATCTATTTTAATTTATAGCTGGTAGAAAATAAGGTATAACAGATTTGGTCTTAAAGACAATTCAGTTCCTGCTGCTAAATTTTCTTATTTTAGGAATGTTTCTAAAAACTTAATTTGGATTTATTCACATGCATGAAAGTATCTAGGCTGAATCTTTATAAACTTTGGAATATTGTTAGGATTCAGTTTCTAAAAATAATCTATTTAAAACATGTTTTTCAGCCGCCTGTCTTGGTTAGATGGTTCTGGATTAGGATTCTCACTGGAATACCCCACCATTAGTTTACATGCGGTGTCCAGGGACCTAAATGCTTATCCTCGAGAGCATTTGTATGTTATGGTGAATGCCAAATTTGGAGGTATGTATAGTGTAATTTATTCTAGTGCTTCCTTTGGTGGTAAAGTGTATTTCAAAAGCAGTCTTTATTTGATTGAGATGGAATCTCATTATGTTACCTAGATTTGTCCCTAACTCTTAGGCTCTGGGCTCAAGCCATCCTTCTTGCCTCAGGCTCTCAAGTAGCTGGGACTATAGGCACATGCTACCATGCCCGTCTTGAAAGCAACCTTTTTTTTTTTTTTTTTTTTGGTGCTAGGGAGTGAATCCAGGGCCTTGTGCATGTGAAGCAAGCACTCTACCAACTGAGCTATATCCCCAGCCAGAAAGCAATCTTTGATAAAAATCAATGTAATTTAGACATGAATTTGTGATAATAATGGGCATTTATTTTGTGTACCTGCCTTTTATTTTTTATTTTACTTACTATTTATTTGCACTTAGAAGTTTTTGTTATTTTGGATATATATTTCTACTTTTTTCTCTTGAGTTTAATTCTTTATTATCTTTGTCTTTGTAAAGAAAGGCACCCTTTAAAGGCTTGTATTATATATTTTTTGTTTCTAAGAATTTAGAATAAAAGTGTTTTTGTTTTGTTACAATAGTTCTCAGCAGGTAGATAGGGAGGATTTTCATGCCTCTCACCTCAGCCCTCCATTTCGCCACATTTGGAAATGACATTTTTGATTATTGAGGGGCAAGAATCCTTAGATGCCAAGGATCCTGCTAAATATCCTACAGTGCACGAGGCAGCCCCTCACAACAGGAATTATCCAGTCCAAATGTCAGTAGTACCAAGGTTGAGAAGTCTGGTTTACAAAATTTCCAAGATTGTATGATAGACATAATTAAAAAGATTGAAAGTATGGTGAAATAAGGCATGGTAGCATGTAATCCCATCGACTCTGGGGGCTGAGGTGGGAGAACTGCAAGTTGGAAGTCAGCCTCAGCAACTTAGCAAGGACTTAAGCAACTTCTGAGACTTTGTCTCAAAATAAAAAATAAAAAGGGCTGCAGGTGTAGCTCAGCTGTAAAGACCCTCTGGGCTAAGTCTCCAGTATCAAAAACAAAAATGTATAGTGAAGTGGTTTTCTTCTAAGATAATAGGTTATTTTTCTTTAATAGAATATATAACAGAAAATCCCAAAGAGTTTGCCTCCTTAAGTATTGCTCCTTGGGGCTGGGGATGTGGCTCAAGCGGTAGCGCGCTCGCCTGGCATGCGTGCGGCCCGGGTTCGATCCTTAGCACCACATACCAACAAAGATGTTGTGTCCGCCGAGAACTAAAAAATAAATATTAAAAATTCTCAAAAAAAAAAAAAAAGTATTGCTCCTTTAGGGTTTTCATATGCTTCCAGATATAATATGACCATTTATATTCAGTTGTGACACTCATTATTAATTTTTAGGACTTTGGCAAGCCCTGTCTCATTAAGTGCTAAAGACTAATTCAATGCTCTGAAAATATATTTGTTATAAGATTTTAAATTCTTGCCATTAGGAAAGCTTCAAAGAGAGATTTWAAAAACTCTAGTGAAGTTTAAAAATGAGGACAAGGAAAAGTAAAAGGCTGTTGAACTTGAGGTGTAGGATAATTTCTTGATGAGATGTTAGGCTCAGAAGTTCACTCACTAGGTAAATGCAACTTTTAGCTTTTTGTTAATGTAACAAGATACCTGAGGTAACCAACTTAATAAGGGAAAGGTTTGTTTTGGTTCACTTGGCCCTATTGCTTTGGGCCTGTAGTGGCACAATACATCATGGTAGGAATACATGGTAGAATAGGCCTATTCATCTCATAGCGGCCAAAAAGCAAAAAAAGAATGTGGGACTGGGGTCCCAGTATCTCCACTGAGGGCATAACCTAATTTCTTTCTACCAGTCCCCTTATCCTAAAGGTTCCACCAACTTCTAATAGCTTCATAGGCTGGTAACCAAACTTTTACCATGTGGGCCTTTTAATGACATTCAAGATTCAAACTGAAGTGTTAAGAGAATCATGTGTTGTGTTTAGTCACGCATAGAAATGCAAAGCCTTAGAGATATTCTTGTCAGTCAATTCCAGATGCTGATGTGTTAGTGCCGAGTGTAACTTAGTGACAGAATGTGTGCTTAACATACATGAGACCCTAGGTTCAATCTCCAGCACCAAAAACAAAACAAATACCACTGTAAAATACCCCTAAATAGTGTTAGGCATTGGCACTGGGTACTTGTCAGTAAAAAAGCTAGAGAGTTAAGGTTCAGGCAAATACTGGCTAAAGAGATAAAGAATACTAAATAAGGAAACTCTGGGTGGTTAACTTGCTAGGCAAGTCGTTTTCTCTGAGCATCTGTTTCATCCAAAAAATTAAGAGGATTTTACTAGTCTTCAATTCTGAAACCTGGCTACATATTAGATATATCTGGGATCTTGTTAAAAATGCAAATGCTTAGCTGGTTGTGGTGGAGCATCCCAGCTACTCAGGAGACCGAGGCAGGAGAATCTCAAGTTCTAGGCCAGCCTGAGCAACTTAGTGAGACCCTGCCTCAAAATACAAAGATAAAATGTGCTGCGATGTGGCTCAATGGTAGAGAGCTTGCCTAGCATGCACAGAGCCTTGAGTTTGATCCCTAATACCCACCTTTGCTTACACAAAGCAAATCTTTGAAGTTCTGAACTTCAAGAAATGGGACAATTCAGTAGGTTTTAGGTAGATATTTTAAACTCTGCTCTTTGGGAGCCTGAGGCAGGAGGATCGTGAGTTCAAAGCCAGCCTCAGCAACTTTTCAAGGCCCTAAGCAACTCTGTGAGGCCCTGTCTCTAAATAAAATTTTTAAAGGGGCTGGGGATGTGGCTCTGTGGTTATATTGCCCTGGGTTCAATCCCTGGTACCAAAAAAAACCCCAAAAAACTTGTGTTCTATGTGATTATTTGCTTGAAATTGATGAGATTATGATTGATCCTTTCTTAGAAAAATATGTGAAGACTTTTCCAGCTTTCTAGAAAGTAGTTTCTCCTGCGACACAAAATCTCCTTTAAAATGACCATCAGCTCATTGTTAAGATTAGAGTATCTTTAAATAATCTATTTTTAAAATTCATTCCCATTGTTGAAAATTTATAAAGGTTTAGAGAGACATAGTTTGGATGCTACTGCAGTGACCTAGCATGAGATGGTAAGTGTTGGTGATGGTTRTAATCTTTTTGGATTGTAAAAATGCTATACATTTTTATTTTTTGCCTTAAGGTAGATTCAAACTGTAGTGTTAAAAGAATCATGAGGATATAAAAGAATTAATAATATTAGTTATATCTGGGGAGATGAACTAGAGGTAGGAACTTTTTCTTTTAATACATTTAGACTCTTCCATTTATTTTTATACAAGCATTTATTTTATTATTTTAAAAAGTAATATTCAATTATAGAATAGTAATTACAGTGTGACAATTTTATTTTTTAAAGTGTATTGAAAAAGTTTGGTAGTACTAAGTAACTTATTCTACTATTTAGAATTATTTATTTAGAGTTCTCCAGTATTTTTATATTGCTCTACTTGTTTACAGAAGGTAGGGGTGTGGGTGGGTGTCTGTCCCCTCCCAATAGTGGAAATTGAACCAAGGGGTGCCCTACCATGGAGTTACATCCCCATCCACTTTTATTTTTTATTTCAAGAGTCTTTCTTAGTTGTGTAGAGCTGGCATGGAACTCAGAATCCTACTGCCTCAGAACCCCACAATGGCTAGGATTATAGGCATGTGCCATTGCCCAGCTAGGAGACATGTATATTATATTTAACAATATAATAACATTAGAAACAGAAAATCTGTCACTTCAAACTACTAATACTGGCCATTTGGGTTTTTTTCCTTATTGCTTATTTGTATGTTTTTCACTAATCTATAATAAACTTACATGACATAAAGGGTTTAGTGGATAGTGCCCCTATAATTGATCCCTGCAAATAGAATTGCTACACTAAGATTATACTTTGGGGTCTGAGGAAATGGTTCGGTGTTAAGAGTGCTTGCCTGGCATGCATGAGGCCGTAGGTTTGATGCCCAGCTCTACCAAAAAAAAAAAGGAGGGGAGGAGGAGTACCTTTCTACCTCATCTTCATCCACATGGAAAATTAACATTTTCTTAAAATGGTAACTTTGTTATAGCAAAACTTATATTTTTAAGATTACTAATTTGGAATGTGTTTTAATGTTTTGGGGGCCTACTTAAATATTTTGGTGACCTATATTTTTTATTATGAAAAAATTCAAACATTGAAAAGTACAGAGAATAATAAACATTTTTCTGTTATTCAATATCCAGCATAAATTTTAACGTTTTCATAATTACTAGACTTTTAAAAATTATTTTGTCAGTACTTTCAAACCCTTTTTTGTCTGACTTCCCATTTGATCCCCTACTCTTTAAATTGAGAGTCAAACAGTATCATGAGGTTTATGTGTTCTTCCTTTTTTTTTTTTTTAAATAAGGATTTTCCATATGGAATTTTCTTTTTTTCCTTTAGAGAGAGAGAGAGAGAGAGAGAATTTTTTAATGTTTATTTTTTAGTTTTTGGCGGACACAACATCTTTGTTTGTATGTGGTGCTGAGGATCGAACCCGGGCCGCACGCATGCCAGGGAGCGCGCTACCGCTTGAGCCACATCCCCAGCCCCCTTATGTGTTCTTCTATCTATGCTTTTAACTTTTACTGAAATGTATATGCCCATAAGCAATATAAGGGTTTTGTGTGGTGTTTTAACATTTTAATGTAATTGATGTTATACATACATTCTGCAGCTAGCTTTTTCATTCAGTTTTATTTTTAAAATGTATTCATGTCAAAGTATATGTATCCCAAATTTGTTCATTTTTTAACAGTTGTCTATAAAATATGATTAGGTTACAATGCATCTGTTTCCTTTTCTTGAATATTCAGTTTATTTTTTATATTTTTATTAGTACATGCTTAAATGTGTAACGTGGTTGTAGCAATTTCCACTTGCACCAGCACATACTCCTTTCTCTCAACATTTGTCTCTATACCCCCACCCCCCACCCCATGAAACTCAGGGCCTCCCAAATGCTGAACAAGTGCTCTGCCACTAAGCTAAGTCAGTTCTCTTTGAACAGTTTTGGGGAGGTTTTTTGTTGTTGTTGTCTTCAGACTGTTTAATTTATCTGTTGGGTCAGTTAACTTCCATGGGCTTTAGTTTTTTTCATCTGTGAATTATTAGTTGTCAATCACATCAGTGGATACACACTGCTTCTGAACCCTTTGCTTTAACATGAAAAGTAATAAAACAAATGATAGTGGAATCACTGTGGCTCTGTGGGAACCCTGAAATCCTTAGGAATCAGTGAAGCACAATGTGACTAACCAGAAACTATCCAGAGTCTCATCACCACCAGTGCTAGGGATTTATCACAGGGCCTTGAACATAATAGGCAAGTGCTGTAGCACTGAGCTACACCCCTAGAACTTTTTCTAGCTCTAAAATAACTGTAAGAAAAAAATGAATTGTAGTTTTTCAGATGTATCAAAAAGTGTCTCTTAGGAAATTCTTCTAGCTTTTTTTTTTCCAAAAAATCAAATGAGTAATATCATTAAAAAGTTATTTTTATTATCTTTCTAGAAGAATCAAAAGAATCTCTTGCTGATGAAGAGGAGGAAGACAGTGATGATGATGTTGAACCTATTACTGAATTTAGATTTGTGCCTAGTGATAAATCAGCATGTGAGTGTTTTATAGCATTTATCTTTTGTCTTTATGTACCAAGCATTCCCCCATTGACGCACCATTACCTCCATTCTGTTTTTTTCTTTATTTTAGCATCTATAATATCATTGAGGATGAGGTACTATTAATATCAGGGTTGTGAGTGTGGTATACACTATGTTACCTGGTGTATTTTGTGAGTAGAGGACTCTGTTTAGTTTTACTGATTTATGCTACTGTGAATCTCATCTGTTGGATAGTAGAATAGTCACAGCATTTCCAAAGTGAGAGATCATTGGAAAGTGCCCCATCAACTGAGAGGATTTATCCTCATCATTCTGACCAAGGACTCCGATCACTTTTTGCAGAAAATCCAACCACCCATTAAGAGATCTCAGTAATATCTTGAAATGAATTCTTAGTTTGTGATTTGTCTGCAACCTCAGGCACTTTTTCAGGATCAGCCCTACTTGGAATTTCAAAATTGTAAATACTGTTATCCTAGTAAACCTCATCTACCTGTTAAATTTATTTGCACTGATGGTTATTTTATTATAAAATATTATTTTATTCCAAAAATATGAATTATAAATTAATGTCTTTGTTTAGTGGAGGTGATGTTCACTGCAATGTGTGAATGCCAGGCTTTGCATCCAGATCCTGAGGACGAAGACTCAGATGATTATGATGGAGAAGAATATGATGTGGAAGCACATGGTTAGTGAAATGTATTTTCAGGATTTGTTTCATTTTGAGCACTTATTTGTATTCAGGGTAGGGGATTATAGTCCTTTATGTATCCAAGAAGCTGCCAGTATAAAACAGTTACAAATAAAACTAACCCATACAGTGGCATACTTAATGCCTAAGCCCTATCAACAATTGAACTGGGAGAATATGGGAGCTTTCCAAGTTGGAGGGTAAAAATGTTATTGGTGGGAGAACATGAATAAATAGAGATAAATAGAAGGAAAGAAAAGTGATGGATAGTCAGAAAAGGGTCTTAAACTGAAGTAGCTGCCCCAAGAGAACAGACCTGTCTCCATCCCTTGAGAAGCTGAGTCATCTCTGTCTTATTTAATGTATTTCTTCTAACAGCTTACTGTCAAGGTCAGTTTTTCCTTCCCAGACTATTCTTCATTTATCTAAAAATATTTTCCGTTGCATTCCCAGACTAGAATTATATTCACTAACCTAGTAGAGTCTCATAGTTTGAGGCATGTGAATTCTCTTTGTTTGTTTGTTTGTTTGTTTGTTTGTTTKTTTCCCCCACTGATCTTCCAAACACTAATCTGGGTGTCCACAGCACTTTTCCTTCATATATCCCAGATTCTTGGCCTTACACTCATTTCTGAAATTTTCCTTCACATTATCTAAATATGTCTCATTTTTGAGTGGTTTTTATTTTTTATCCTTTTGGTATTTTCCAAAATTTCTGAAAAGCATGTATTTTAATCAGAATAAAACCTTCAGTACAAATTAATATCAAACTGATTTACTCTCACCTGTAAAATTCCACCTGCAATAATATAGGACTCCTTGACCCTCTTTTTTCCTTGTATTCTCCCGACATTTCTTTCTCTGGGAATTGCTACTTACTGGTTTATTACCTCTAGGAAACCTTTCTCATGTTGGAGGGTAGGGACATTCTCTTTATATTTGTCTTCAACAGTGTCCACATCAGTGAATGTTGGAGGTGTTTCTCCGGAAATGTTTTTTTACTCTACCTCATCTTTAGCAAATGTATTAATTATTCATCTTGTTTTTTCTAATTGTTGTATAATGGCTTAAAAGTTTTCTGTTTGTTTAGAACAAGGGCAGGGGGATATTCCTACATTTTATACCTATGAAGAAGGATTATCCCATTTAACAGCAGAAGGGCAAGCTACACTGGAGAGATTAGAAGGAATGCTTTCTCAGTCTGTGAGCAGCCAGTATAACATGGCTGGGGTCCGGACGGAAGATTCAGTAAGAGATTATGAAGGTGAGTGTCCTTTCTCTTCAGTGTGAACAGATGGCTACCTGAGCAGTAAGGGAAGTTATGGAGAAACAGGTTATTTTGGAAACTAAGACAAATCTCAAAATTAACTACAGTAGGAAACAAATGTACAATTACCTAGAATGGGAATTCTTACAGGATTTGTTTGCTTTTTTAGTGATTTCATACCCCTCAATTACAAAAATAGAAATTCTGTTTGTTTCTCTCCCCCACCCCCACCCCCAGTGCTGGGAATTAAACCTGGGGCCTTAATGCTAATGAAGCACTGTACCACTGAGACCCATCCCCAGCCCCAAATATTTAAAAAATGCTCACAAACAATGAATAAATGGAAAAAGAAAGAAAAGAAAAATAAGTATATTATGACTGATATATTTACTATTTTTTGTTGCAAATCTGTATTAGTTTGATTGAACTATCAAAGTAAAGTACCATAGATTGAGTGGTATTAAAAATAAAAATAGGGCTGGGGATGTGGCTCAAGTGGTAGCGCGCTTGCCTGGCATGTGTGCGGCCTGGGTTCGATCCTCAGCACCACATACAAACAAAGATGTTGTGTCTGCCAATAACTAAAAAAATAATAATAATAATAATAAATATTAAAATTCTCTCTCTCACTCTCTCTTTAAATAAATAAATAGATAGATAGATAGATAAATAAATAATAAATAAAAATGTATTTTCTCATAATTCTGGAGGCTAGAAGCCCAGGGTTGGTTGTCTGAGGACTGAGAGAAGGATCTATTCCAGTCCCTTTTCTTGGCCTATACATGGCTCTGTTTTCCCTATGGCTTCACATCCTCTGTCCATGTCTGTATCTAGGTTTTCCCCTTTTACCACTAACTAATGTGTATGTATCACACACACATACCAGGGAAACATCCCTACATTTTACATCAAGCTGCTATTATATCTGCTGTGTTACCAAATAACATTACTATTTGATGGGGTAATCCTTCTTCACAGGCATAAAGTGGAGGGATGTCCTCCTGTATGTGTGTATGCATACACACACACACAAATATAGATAGATAGATGTGTAAATAGTGAAAGCTGGCATGTCCAAAATCAGCAAGGTAGGCTGGCAGACTGAACACCCAGGGAAGAATTGATTGATGTTGTATTTTGAGTCCAAAGGTGATCTGTTTAGGGTAAGATCAGTCAGTTTTCTATTTGGCCTTCAATAGGCTGAATAAAGCCTACCATATTATGGAGGGAAATTGGTTCACTCAAAGTTCACTGATTTCAATGTAAATCTCATCTAAAAAGTACCTCCACACCAAAGACAGGAATGGGATCATCATGTGACCCAGCTATACTTCTCCTTGTTATTTATCCAGAAGAACTGAAGTCAGCATCACCTTAGTGATACATGCATATCCGCATTTATAGCAGTTCAATTCACAGTAGCCAAGTTAGGGACTCAGCCTACATGTCTGTCAACAGATGAATGGATAAAGAAAATTGGTACATATACTCCAAACAGTTTTAGCCATAAAGAACACAGTTATGTTGTTTGCAGGAAAATTGATGCAACTGGATAACATTATGCTAAGTGAAACAAGCCAGACTGAGAAAAGCAAGAGTCCTGTGTTTTCTCTCCTATGTGAAAACTAAGGAAAAAAGGAGTCCTCATGAAAATAGAAGAGACACCAGGAAAATAATGGAAGGAGATTGGGAGTGGAAGGAAAGGAGGAAAAAGGGAGCTATGGGGAATGAAACAGGCTAAATTGTGCTGTGTGTGTATATGAAAATATCCAATGAATCCCACCGTTATATGTAATTATAATGTACCTATTAAAATTTAATTTTAAAAGGTCTAATAAAACCAGGCATGGTGTTACACGCCTGCAATCCCAGTGGCTCTGGAGGGTGAGGCAGGAAGATTGTGTGTTCAAAGCCAGCCTCATCAAGAGGGAGGTGCTAAGCAATTCAGTGAGACCCTGTCTCTAAATAAAATACAAAATAGGGCTGGTGATATGGCTTCTCAGTACCAAAAAATAAATAAATACAATTTTAAAAGTCATTAATGATAAGTTCATAAAAAAATTAAAAAGGAGGGCTGGGTTTGTGGCTTAGTGTGTAAGACACTGGGTTTGATTCTCAGCATCACATATAAATAAAGGTCCATCAACAACTAAAATATTTTTAAAGAAATTACAAATACCTCCACAGTAATATCTAGAATAATATTTGACAAACTCTTGGCAAAACAGCCTAACCAAATTGACACATAAAATTAACCATCACACAGAAATAATACACTGGTTTATAAACACTTCTTGCATCTTTCTTGTATTTAGTAATGACTACAGAATATTTCTAAAGAGGCTTACCTTAGTTTTTCACTTATTGGTGTGCTTAAGTTTCTCTCATAATGCAGTAATCAGTATCTCCATGCACATAGCATTTTGACCTGGGGTTCTTGAAGTTCTGGAATTTTTTAAAATTTATTTTTGAGACAGGGTCACTCTGTCACTCAATCTCAATTTCATGGGCTCAAGTGATCCTCTCACCTCAGCCTCCCAAGTACCTGAGACTGTAAGAATAATTAGGATTGCATGTGTGTACCATCATGCCTGACTTATGGGATAGTTTAGTTTGGAAAAGTTTGGGGTTTGGGTTGCACTATTATTCTTTTTGTCCCCTGCTTTTTAAATTTTTGTCTTTTGTTTGAGATGGTGGTCTTATTATGTTTTCCAGGCTGGTCTCATCTCTGGGCTCAAGTGATCCTCCCAAGTCATCCTACAAGAGTGTCACATTCCACCTGGTTCACCATATTAAGCCCCAGCTGGTGAACCTTTAATGTAGACTTTAAAAGGGTGAAATGACTTAGATGGTGTAGACATTGAAAAAAGACTTTTATTACTGAAGTTTTTGTTTTTTTAATTGTAAAATTCCTTGATTAATATTTTATGTAGCAAATTATTTTAAGATCACAAAAAACTGGATTAAAGAAAAATTTGAGGACTTTAATCCATATGCTTTATTAACACACTGGAATTGCTTATCTGTAAAACTTCTTAATTTTACACCATTGCCCATCTTCTACTAAAGTTCTGAGTACTCATGTCATTCTTGTTGTCACTTAAACACTTGTAGTCTGCTAATGGTATTTCAGTGTTTTAGGTACTCAGTTTTGTAAAAGGCATTTATTCACCAAACCTGGTACAGTGAATACAATAGTGCTTGAGAAAAATGATATCTTCATGTCATTGACTTTTTAGTGAACAGAAGAGTAAGTTAACAATTTGTAGAGATACAGCCATGAGATACAGGAGATGCTTGGGAAGCTGTGAGTTCGTACGGGGTAGACCCCTCACCAGTTGGTATAGTTAAGCCTCGTGGAGTAAGTTATATCTAAGCTGTGATCTAAAAATGAAGAGAAGTGACCCAGGTGAAGGGAGATTGCACACAGGTTGAAGGAAGAGGCAGGTCAAGGGCTTTGTTGAATGGAAAGGTTCAAGAGGTCATTCATGCCAGGTGAGGTGCAGACCTGTAATCCTAGCTGCTCAGGAGACTGAGGCAGGAGAATTGCAAGCTCAAGGACAACATGGGCAACTTAGTAATTTTTTTTAATATTTATTGTTTAGTTAGTTGGACACAATATTTATTTTTATGTGGTGCTAGGGCCTCACATGTGCTAGGCAAGCGGCACACAACCCCAGCCCCTGCCTCAAATTTTTAAAGAAAGCAGTGAGTGATACAACTCAGTGGTAGAGCTTATCTAGTGTGGTTGAGGCCTTGGGTTCAATTCCCCAGGTATGGATTGATTGATATTTGTTTTTGTTTTGGTACTGGGGATTGAATCCTGGTGGGAGGCTGTACCACTGAGATAYATTACATCCCCAACCCTTTTTACTTTGAAATAGGATCTGGCTAAATTGCTGAGGCTGATCTCGAACTTGTGATCCTCCTATGTCAGCCTCCTGAGTCACTGAGTTTACAGGCATGTGCCACCAAGCCTGGCAAAAAGATTTTTTTTGAACATTACCTTTAGGTCAGTGAGAAGCCATTGAACAATTTGATTATAGTGTTTCAGATGGTGACTGTAATGCAATATGGAAAATTGGAGGGAGAGGAAATATACTTGAGGAAAGACAAGAAGCCTTTTTAGTAAATTATATATTAAATTAGAGATGGTGGCCTAAATTCAGTGGAGGTAGTGAATATCAAAAGACTTGACATATTTAAGAGATTTAGGAGGTAGAAATAATACAAATTAGAGAAATGGTAGGAGTTTCTGGTTTGGGCAGACAAGTGGTCCCCCTTTAGCAAGACTAGAAAAGTGGAGAGATAGGACATTTGCATATCCAATGTGGTAGGATACCAAGGGGCTTTTGGAAGAAGTCTGTGATGGGCTGAAAGTGAAGGAGTGAATGGAAGCTAGGAAGTAAATAGAGTAGTTGTAGATAATCTATCCACAGGACTTTTTTTCTGTGTCACTTCCCACTTTTACTGCCACAGGGTAGTAAGCAAGCCGTTTATTCTGATTTGTCTTTTCTCCTTATGTTATAGGTTTTGTGAAAGTAAGACCACATACCTTAAAAAAAGGGGGTGGGGGGCTGGGGATGTGGCTCAAGCGGTAGCGTGCTCGCCTGGCATGCGTGCGGCCCGGGTTCGATCCTCAGCACCACATACCAACAAAGATGTTGTGTCCACCAAGAACTAAAAAATAAATATTAAAAATTCTCCCTCTCTCTCTCTCTCTCTCTCTCTCTCTCTCTCTCTCTCTTCTCTCTTTAAAAAAAAAGGGGGGGTGGGGGGCTAACAGTAAATAGCACAAATCTGTGAATAGTTGATATTTACTGCATTTGAAAGTTCCTACCTGGGGGGCTGGGGATGTGGCTCAAGCGGTAGCGCGCTCTCCTGGCATGCATGCGGCCCGGGTTCGATCCTCAGCGCCACATACAAACAAAGATGTGTCTGCTGAAAACTAAAAAATACATATTAAAAAAATTTTTTTTAAAAATGAAAGTTCCTACCTAGGGCTGGGGCTGTAGCTCAGTGGTAGAACATTTACCTAGCTTTCATGAGGCCCTGGGTTCAGTCCCCAGTTCTGCAAAAAAGAAAGTTCCTGGGGCTGGGGATATAGCTCAGTTGGTAGAGTGCTTGCCTCACATGTACAAGGCCCTGGGTTCAATCCCCAGCACCACAAAAAATAATTTTTAAAAGTTCCTACCTCCAGCTCTTTGTTGAGTTTGAGTATTTACAAAGTAAATGTTAAATGTGTAAACTAATTTTAACTTGGCCTAAATCAATAGGTGTTGTTTTCCTTTCTCTGTTTCTGGATACTTCAGTTAAAAGAGGGGAGGGGCAACTCTTACCAACAGAGGGCACTAGGTTCCTTCTGGTTGAAATTATACATTGAATCTACCTATTTGAAGTACTCAGTAGAGTATGGCTCAGCAAGATTTTTTGTTTTGTTTGTTTTTTTCAGATGGCATGGAGGTAGATACCACACCAACAGTTGCTGGACAATTTGAGGATGCGGATGTTGATCACTGAAAATGATTTATGCTGTTTAAAAGTGAGTAGTTTATTATCTTCCTTGTCACTGAACATGAAAAGCATCTGAAATAATAAGTTTTTATATTCATAATTGAAGAGAGCTCTATAAAGTTCAGAAAAATGTTTCCCAATTCTGAAATTACTGAAAGTTACATGTATTTTTTCCTAAGAAATCAGGGTCTACAAACGTGGTGATGTTCAGTTTAACATCTATTACACGCTTGCCACATGTATCTTAGTATTAAAAGCTGATTTATCAAACCATAACAAGTCCATGTAGAGTTATCCAAAAAGCCATAATTTCCTAAGTAATTTCTTACCTGCTTTTCACGGCTGATGAAAGAACTCTGCCAATTTTCTCTCCTGTGACACTTTCATGAGCTTTGCCTGAAGTTTGTCCCTATTTGTTATTTTGTTACTATGAGAAATATATTGTCCTTTTCCAGCTCAAGTAATTAAAGTGTATGTTAGTAGTAATTTAAGACCATGTAGCTAGTTCATACTGTTCAAAGATAGGACTGATAACCTTAGTTAACTTTATAAACTGCAAAATTTTCACATTGTTAAATTGTTGTCCTCTGGTTGGGGATGTGGCTCAAGCGGTAATGCGCTCGCCTGGCATGCACGAGGCACTGGGTTCAATCCTCAGCACCACATAAAAATAAAGATGTTGTGTCCATCAAAAACTAAAAAATAAATATTAAAAATTCTCTCTCTCTCTTTAAAAAAAAAAAAATGTTGTCCTCTCCTCCCTATAACAGCATTGTCTTCTCGAATTATCTTCCCTATAACAGCATTGTCTTCTCGAATTATCTTCCAGGTCCTTTTATTGAAGCATATGTTAGTAACATGGCAAGATTTATAATAATTTTGTTTTCTTCTGGTATAAATTTTAGCTCTGGCTTTTCTGAAGTTAAGATTTTAATTTCCTGTACCCTTGTTCCATTTAATATCAGAAACCAGCCTTTTAAAATTCCAGACAGACCTTCCAAATTATTGCCACTGTGGATTTAACATTGCTTCTCATACTAACCATGAATTGTGATATTAGATCTCTGCTTTCTTCTCAGATCCTACCAGTAGAACTATCAGAAAATAACATCATAGAGTTCTGTGATTTATATCTTTTCCCATAAATACTTAGTTCTTATTTTCACATTTACTTCTATCAGTGGTAGCCAGATAGTCTAAAATCAGCAGCGTCTCCTCTGCACAGCCATGTGTGTGCACACCGCTGGTGCTCTGTGAGTGTTGGCTCTCATCCCTCACTTCTAGATGTAACTTCAYTCTTCTTCATGGGAAACCTTTTAGTACCAACCTCAATCACCTTTCCTGATGTCTCATCAAATTCTTTATAGCACATTGTTTTTTTGTTTTGTTTTGTTTTTTTCAGTTCAGAGATAGTTGTTTAATAACAGTTTTATTGAGACTGAATAAACAGAATTTGGGGTCTTCTGATTTTTCATGTATTTTCCCTGAAGAATAGACTGTTCAGAGAACATTGACCACTCTGTTAATAATGATTATGAGAAACTCATTTGATGTGTCGCTAGTGGTTATACAAATGAGATGTTACTGCAATCCCTGGCAAGCATTCTTAGGATTCTTTGTAATGGTGAAATAACCATAAAATAGCCACAAATTTTCTAATGAGCTGATGATTTGTTTTCTGTTAATTTCATGTTCTTTGCTCAAAGGCAAAGAGATATTTTATTCATAAAGTTTAATCAGGCTTTCCTCTGGGTATTTGACCCGAATTCCAAACAATATCTATAAATTTGTAATCAATTAAAATTGTATGTGCCTTTAAAGAATAAACAAGGTATAATTAGAGTGTTTATGTGACCATTAATGATTTATAGATAATTGAACTGGGATCTCTCAACACCTGAGAAGGGGTGAAGGGGAAGGCAAATGAATGGTGGAATCACAATTCTATCATGGACTGGCTGGCTGTTTGCCTTGGACAAGGCATATACCTTATCTAATCCTCAACATCCTCATCTATAAAGTGGGGTGGTAACTATGTGGCCGGGTTATCGCAAAGACTGAGACATAATGTATCTAAATCCCTTGGCACTCTTTACAAGGCATTCAGTAAATAAAGCTGTATTATAAACATTATAAACCTTTTGTTTTTCAGGTTCTGCTTATAACTAGGAGAGAACCTGGTGCCTCTTCCACTTTGGAGTGGGGTTGATGAAAGTCTTTCCTTCTCCAAAACTCTTAAACTAGTTCTTTCTCAAAACAGACTATACTGAGACAGCAAGTTGTCACCAGCAGAAGGAACTACGAACTTTATTAACAAAGGTGAATTAATTCATCCAAGGGGGTACTTGTAGTTTATCATTTACCCCAAAACTTTGTGTTAGGTACCCTATGAGTAAGCCTATAATTCCTGCCTTTGCTGTATGAATCATCTGTATGGTAGCAGGCCTGTGGTAAACATGCTCAGGAGCTTGGAGTGTGGGAAGAAAAGGCAAATATCTCAGAGGGATCAGCCTTTGTTATTCTCCACACAGTCAAGAGTCTTTTACTGATTTGGGGGCCAAATTAATTAATTCAGGCCTCTGTAGTAGCCTCTTGGGAAATATCCTAGCGACAGATCCTACCACTGACAAGAATGTTTCTAGCTACCTTCTGCCCTCTTTTACCAGTCTACCCTGTATAGCCTCTTAGGTTATATCATTTAATTTCCACCCTCTTAGGTTAGTTTTCTGTAACAGAACAGTGAACTGAAATGAAAGTCCTCCAAGTACTTCTAATGATAATTGTTTTGTCTTTGTAATAACATAACAAATAAATCTACATTTTCTATATCACTGTTCTCGTTTTTGACTAATTCTATTAGTGAGGTTTTTTTGTTTTTTTAAGTAATGCTGGCAAAATATCATACTATTGGTGTAGTGGTAGATCTCAGTAATAAGTACTTGCCTCACATGCAAGAGGCCCTGGTTTCCATCCCCAGCATCACAAAAAAAATAAAATGAGAGTCTTATTGGTCATATTTTGCTCATTTTTTGTTGATATGAACATGAAATTAATAAAATATGTAGTTAGAGCTTCTGGAAAATATTTAATAAGAAAAAGAATATATTTTAAAGAATTTCTGCTGCTTTTCTTTGGATCAGGAATAATTTCTTATATTTTTTTAACTTTCACGTTAGCTTTTCACAGATACCTGAGTATTTATAAGGCTGATTTGTAGTTCCAGATTTATACCTAGACTTCAGATAACTTGTAGGTTAAATAAGCTGTTCAGAGTCAGCCAGTTGGCTAATTAGTGACTAAAGTCTATTTTGATGTCCTCAGCCCAGTGTTGTCATCAGCACTTTCACGTGGTTTCCCTCATCCGTCAATTAAAGTAATTTTCTTTTTTTTTAAACTAGATTCACAAAGTCTTAATCGTTTTAATTGGCAAGTAAAAGAGCCACTTAGAAATAGAAACTAAAATTTTCTAAGACCTCCTGTATATCAGCCACCATCCTGGGTTCTTTGCATATATTATGTGTTCTGATATACCGGACTACCTTGAGTATAGATGCCTTTATTATCCCTTTGTATGTGTGGTACAGGGGTACTTTACCACTGAACCACATCCCAAGCCCTTTTGTATATTTTGTTTAGAGACAGGGTCTTCTTGAATTGCTTAGGGCTTCGCTGTGTTGCTGTGGCTGGCTTTGAACTTGCAATCCTCTTGCTTCAGCCTTCCCAGGACTAGGATTATAGGCATGTGCCACCATGTCCAGCATATTTATACTTCTCAAATAACCTTATTTAAAGCCTTGTGAGTTACATATTTTGAGATGGTATTAGGGTCTTTCTCAGTATTGGTGAAGGTGAGAGTTTATGCACTGATGATTATAATATATAGTCCTTTACTTTTAGAAAACAGGTGTGATTAGTGAAGATTCAGAGATAATAAATATTTAAAACTAGATTATCTATGGAATTTTTAAAATTATAAATGGACCTTTATTTTATTTATTTATATGTGGTGATGAGAATCAAACCCAGTGCCTCACACATGTTAGGGAAACGCTCTGCCACTGAACCAAAACCCCAGCCCCTTATCTATAGAATTTTGATCCACTTACTGCTGTATAGCTAATACTCATGTAATCCTATTTTTAAAGAATTTCTAGAATAGAATTATTGCCATCACATTATTGAGGAGATGGAACATATTTACACTAATATTTCATTCTCTTCATATATATAGAAATGAAACCAGTATCTAAGTATTTATAAGGCTGAATTGGGGACTTCCTAATTTCAAATGAGAAGTCAGAAAAACTTAAATTGAAGAATTGAACTTGGTTAGAATATTTTAATCTTAATTCTTAAAGATAAAAATAATTAAAAAATATATGACTTGGGGGTAAGACTAATATACAGTATATACAGACATTTGTTTTGTTTGTATGTACTAGGGATTGAACCCAGGAGTGCTCTACCACTGAGCCACATCCTCAGTCCTTTATGTATTTTATTGAGACAGTGTCTCATTTAGTTACTGAGGCTGCCTCAAACTTGTGATCCTCCTTAGCCTTCCAAGTCACTGGAATTACAGATGTGCCACTATGTCTGGCTAGGATTTTGGGGGGAGTGGATTTTTAGAGATTATATGAATCACTAATGCATACTAAGCACTTAGGACAACAGTGCCTAAAAAAATAGATCACTAAATGTTAATTATTACCAATAAGAAAAACTGTAACATTCATCCACCACTTAGAATATATTTGAGAATTTAAAATTCCATTGAGCAATTAAAATAGATGTCGTGAAATCTATGCAATTATTCATAGAACCTTCGGGCAAGTCTCCTGCTTTATAAACAGATCTAATGTACCGGAGTTTCTGGTTTATAAGCATTGAATAAGCTAATAAAGGCAACTGGAGTGGTTGTATCAGGCTTATTAAGAGCAGCATTAAATAGCTCAAAGCATTATGAAGAAAGCAAAAACAATTCCCATTGAACTTCAAATAGTAAACATTTTGAATATGAAGATAGTG